GATCCTCTTTTAGAATAATAAATTACTTACAGTTGTTGAATTAGCGTAAACAATAACACTATATGTTTCAGTTTTTAACAAGTATTATTTCTGAAGATCAGAAGTATTGTGCAATTCAAATATTCGTCTAATTTTATCAATCTAAAATAGAGAAAAAAACAGTTCGGATTTATGACAGACTAATGTTAATGTTCATCTTCTATTCTATCATATATTTAAAGAAAGAAAACAAGATGAACAGGAGAGAAAAGGAAAGTGTATTAGAAGTGGCTGACCGAGTGAGTGACCTATAATACGTTCGCATAACTATTTATAGATGCATACGAAGAGAACAAAGAGAAAGAAAATGAAGAGAAAGAAAGAGATAAATGATGGACGAATCAGAATTAGTCACAGGTTTATCTCTGTTTTGACAGCATCGAATATAAGTCTTCATTCGTAACCTCCTCTGAATAACAATTTGTAAACCTTAAAATATTGATTAAGCTACAGCGGAATATTATTTTACATGGTAGCTTAGAAATATCATATACGAAATATAATGAGCTGAACTGCTTCACGTGTCGATTTTTTTACATGAACGAAAAAGAAAAATTCAATCAAGCATGAATATATAACCAAAGAATTAGTAGCGTTTATAATATTGTTAGACGCTGATGTACATCATCTTCTCTTTCTCTCTACACATGTATATCTTTTCTTTTCTACTCTCCTCACATATGTGTACATATGTTCACATATATTAATTGTCTATGGTTCTTAAGGGTATGGGTGAGTGTGCGTATGAATACGATATAAATATGATACGCACACCCAAACCTAACCTGACACGTTCTATTTCATCGAATTTACATGCCAACTACAATATACATATATTTTATTATTCTAATTTCAAAATTGAGTTACGTATAATAATACAGAATTTTTTCGACGTTTTTCTCTTTTTCGTAGAGGAGAGTCTTGCAAATATAAGTTGTCTGCTTGCTTGCTTGATTGATTGTGTGTCCGCAGAGTAAAAAAAACATCGAAAACCGATTTTCAAGATAACACATTTCTATAGGTAATTCGATGCGAGGACTTCGAATCAGAGGTCTTGAGGGTGTGGGTAGGTGAAAGATCAAGAAAACATCGAAACCCGTTTTTTAGGAAAAGACAGTTGTTGAGATATTTCGATGCTGGGACTTCGAATGTGGGCCACATTTGCTCAGACTACTGAAGGGAGGCGAGGGGAGGGCGGAGTTTGAATTGGAAAAAGTGGTGTTGACTAATAGAGATCCACGTTTTGTATAATGCTTTTTTACAGGTATCCAAATATTCCCCTGGTTATAGTGCAGAGTATGGCGACAATAATCGGCTGGCTTTCTTGCGTATAAGAATACTAACACTTCACTTATTCATTAAAGACTAGTTCGAGAAGCCACTGATGCCGACAGCTCTTATATGTTTTGATCTGCGTTTACCGCTGAATAGGACGCGGCTATTTGCTAAGAGTAAGGAACAACAAACGAGAGCAAGGTTTTCAATTGTTTTTCCAGTAAATATGAAGAAGGTGCATTTCTATGAGAAAGAGCTAAGCTAGTCTTCGGACAAGCGTTACTTGTTATATTGTAGATAACAAAAGCCCCAGTAGTAATACTGGAAATCAACCAACAGAATCGATATCGTCAACAGAACAAAACGTCGATATTCTAGAAACAAAATGAATAGTTTTCAATGAAAACTTTTCATGATAACGTCAATCAAAAATTTAAACTTGTGATATTTTGATGACTCATTATATTCTACCTATTGGGAAAAAAAGTTAGTCTGAATGCTAGATATTTTGTATGATTTTTCTGTGAACATTTAAGTATCTTTCTCGTAGAGAAGAGTCCAGTAAACATAAATTGTCTGATTGATGGTGTGTCCGCACTTCACTGATTGGTCCAAAAATTAAGTAAAAATATAAAATGAATTTGTTTATAAAGGTTGACCAAACAATTATGAAGATCATGCAATTCAAAGCTGAAGTCAGTTTGGAAATTTTTTATATACAGTTTACTGGTAGCGAAGACGTATCAGTTCTACGAGAAAGAGCTGAGCGAGTGTCCAGACGAGCGTTACTTGTTAAAATAATCATATTTTTAATCATTCAAAAATTTCTCTTCTATTTCGTACTAATGTCGATTATCTCTCATATTCGAAATAACGACACATAAATACCAATTCATTCTTTTTCTCTGTAAATAAAAAAATAGACTTAAATATTATTTTCTTATTTATATATATTTCAATCTCAGTTAAATTATCTAACTAACTACCATATATACATCTTGTTATACAGATAACATATCGATATTAATAAAATTTTCTTCTTCATCCAAAGATCAACCTTAACTTTGAAGAAATTCTTTATGAATTTTGAAAAGACGATTTCTTTCGATTGCTTTTACTAGTCAGTTGTTAAACACTTTATTCATATATCATTCTACGGATGAAATATTTCACCGTTAGTCTCACATAGAATTAAAAAAAAATTTATCGTAATGTTTTATTCTTCTTTTTTATTCTTTTGCAAATACAAAATCATGAAAACATTATTCAATAAATTTTGATGGTTGATGATCTAAAAAAACGAACTTCTTTTTTTATAAAGAATTGTAAAATTCTTTGAACAAACCTTCAACCAAAAACTCTTTGCAGTATTTATTGATATTGTGAATTTGAAGAGTTTTCATGAGTGAAGTGTATATTGTTTTGCCATTTAATTTCTCTTCAATTCCTATGCAAAGCTGAACCGTGCGCGCATCATGATTATGTGCTATATACAATCAAATTGTTTTTGGTCAATGCTGAAACATTTTTAACAAAAATAATTGAATATTAAATTCTTCCCAGGCCAAACAATCCGATCGAGGACCGACCGATTCCGGAGTTTTCATGGAAGCAGTATTCCGCGCCGAAATTCATCAGAACTTTCTTCCATCTTCCCCGCCATATTCCACTGGAAGCGTTCGGAGATGAATTTCGAGATTTTCCACTACCATTCGCCGAACAGGAACCGCAACGGAAACAGTCGATTAAGATGTGAATTTCAAAGGAATGTATCCTGCATGTTCCGACTCAATTCCTGCCACCGTGTTCCCTTCAAATCCAGCACCCGAAACACATTAAACCCAATACCACTCATTTTATGCGAGTTCCTTCACCATATATCCTGAGACCGAGTGGAAAAAACAATATCGATTGTGCGCAAATCAACATAGGATATTCCAGCTCCCGATTCGCCTAGAAACTGATTCCAAGTAGAACTCGACGAGCTCTATCCACTGCACTAACTATCTTTTCCATTAGATCCCTCTTACCCCCTCCTCCCCCCCCTGAAATGCGAAATACCACTAAAAATCGAAAAAAAAAGAAAAACCTCGTGGGTGTGGATACTGTATTCACCTAGCACCCACATCTACACACCCACACCCACCCTTTGCTTATTTTCAGGTATTTTATACTGCAAATATTTTTCAAATTAATTAGTAATGTTTTGTATATAATGAGTGGTATGAGTATACGCGCATGAGTAAAGATGTAAAAAGTATGGTCATATTTTATCTACACCCACACTCCGTCCATTTTTAGACTTCTGCTATTGTATATATTGAATTTAGAGCTAAATCCATGCATCTTTTTCATGTCTCTTACAAAATACTTATTGCGCATACAGAAACAAAGAACGTGATTGAAAGTGAGTCCTAACAAAGCAGATTATTTAACACAGTCAAATAAAAAAAGACGTCAAACTAATGATGAATAATTCATTGACGTCAATCATTTATTGACGATGATAGTTGACATCTTATTCTTAGTTAAAACACGTCCGATGATTAATACAGATTTTGATCAATTCTCTTTTCTCTTTATCACGTTCTTCTTCAGTTAAATCAAAGATTTTCTACAAAATAATTAAAAGAAAAGGATTGTGTTGAATTTAACTTAAATTCAGTGTTTTTTAATTTCGAAAAGAATGAAATTCAATGAAAAATATCAAATTAAATTATTAATTTTGTTCATTAATTCAATCTAAAATCAATTTTTTATCTTACCTACGACGAACAAAATCTTCTTTAGAACACTATTTTTTCTCTTTGTGTGTGACGTTGGAAGAAATGAATGAGAGAAAAAGAGAGAGACATATAACTAGAGAGAACATCTAGAACGAGTGTCATTTTGTTTTCATCGAAAACAAAGAAGAAGATTATTTTACTAGTTAACTAATTTATCAAAAAATAACTCTTGTTGAATGATGTGGAATATCTACATACTTATCATTATTCTTCTGTTCATTTTCAACAATGAAGCATCAGGTAAATACTTTTATTTATCATATACCAAAGATCAGCCATTGCACAAAAATAAAATTATTCGTTAAGGTCTTGAGCTAGGAATTAGATACAACAGAAAGGAAAGAAATCTATTTTATCATATCGCGTTATAACATATAGAAAAAGAGAATTAATTGACTTTTACAGATGAAATCAAAATTAAAAAAAAAAGAAAAGATGAACAAATTAATATAAATGAAAACAAAGTTGTGTGACATTATTTGACTATTTTGATTTGAGATAATATATAGATTCATTTATCCTATACAGATCACCGCATCTCCATTATATAAAAAAATACTACGACTGATAAAATACTTATATTGTGTTTGATGTACTCACAGAATGTGAGTGTGCGTAAGAGTAAAGAAAAGACGAATCCGCACCCACAAGCACACCCTATCTGAGAGAGAAAGTAATATTTCAAATTGTTTACTCTTATTTCCATATGATACAAAATTGAATCGACTTTCTTTTTCATTAGTGAATACTTCATCAGTTGTTCAAACACTTTATGAATCGAAACTAACAAAGAACAGTTCAACGTATTTACCTGATTGTTCAGAGTCAAGTTCTTACTACGAAGCAATACAAGTGAATGTTCGTAGAAGTGGTTTTTACACTTTCTTCAGCAACAGCAGTATGGACACGTACGGCTCTGTTTACAAAGAATATTTCAATCCATCCAATCCAATGGAAAATCGACTCGTAGACGATGATGAAAGCGGCCAACAACATCAGTTTATATTCACAATTGCTCTTGAAACCAGTATCACATATATATTGATTGTGACAACGTCCAGTTCTAACCCAACAGGTGCATTCTCAATCTTTGTATCTGGTCCAGATAATGTTGATCTCAAGAATATTAGTAAGTGTTTGCACTACAACTATTAAATGAATATTAGTCAACGTTAGCATGAGTATTTAGTTGAGTTTGGTATATCCACAAATAAAAACTTCTTTTGTGAGATGACATTTGTACTATAAGAGGAAGGCTTTACACAAACAGCTACATCAAATCCAGCAAATAACAGAATATTATGAATAGCATCAGAAGAATTTCTCTTGAATTTGTGTTTGTTACAGTTTACTCCTAATCCGATGTGAATAATATACAAATCTGCGCAAATCGCTACTTTTCACCACGGAATGAAAAGACTACTAATTATTACAACATGTCCTATCACTTAATGTTCCTATAATAAAAAAATATAAATATATTGTTACTTTTTATAAATCTAAAAAACATCTTTACGATTTTTCATATATAAAACATCAAGACGTTATCAATTTACGGAGTAAAGAAGTTACTTCAAATTCATTCGTGACATACAATAACGAGGATTCGAGTACAGAAAACTGTTTATAGATTCTATTCTTACTCTCCTTTTACTTCTTAATTATTCTATTGAGAGTAATATTATAAAGAACCGTTTCTTTAAATATGTAGACTCGAAATCATCCTGTTTTCTTTTATATTCAAGAGCTCGGAGAGATGAAGCATCATGTTCAGTCTTACTTTCGCAGGCGGAAGATTTCTCTTTCTTTAAACCAACCGATATGTACATATGAATCTTCATTACTTTCTTAATTTTATTTTCTAGGCTCTCCATCAATCATCCAAATACAATATTCATTAGCTATACAATCGAACTATTCATCAGAGCTGACAACGAGTAGTCAAACATATTCTCGAGATTGTCGAAAATCAAATTATCACTATCAAGCTATACGAATGAATGTAGTAGAAACTGGATACTATGCTCTGATTAGTAACAGCAATATGAATACATTTGGTAATATTTACGAACATGATTTTAATCCAATGAATCCTTTCGAGAACCTACAGTCACAGAATTATCGAAGCTGTAGTTATCAAGATTTCAAGTTCATCGTTTATCTTCACAGTGGTCCTAAGTATATATTAGTGGTAACAACATCTTCTCCAAATATGACAGGAAAGTTTTCCATTTTAACATCTGGCCCAAATGTCATCACTCTTAATGCTTACAGTAAGTGTTTTGTATTATTTTGTAAATCATCTTGAGGATAGGTGGGTGTGGATGTATCTGAAATGTAATATTCGGATCCACACCCACCCTTATAAGATAGTCTTAACTTCTATTTTAAGTTGAATAATTGATTTGTTTATTCAGATATTTCGTCTGCATCTACATCTAATTTTACAACTGTTTGCGGTAAGTAAAATATCATATCTGTATATAACATGAAATTAGTTGTAAATATTCTAAAAATATACATATTTATTTGTCTGAACATTGTAATATTTCAAAGAGATAAGAATTGAGTTCGTTTTCTAAATAACTAGTTCTAATAAAAAAGTTGAAAAATTGATTTTGTCTTTTAGCAACACCAAAGAAATCATCATATGCTTGCATGACTTATTATCCTACATGGATGTTAATTATGATTTGTTCAATTATTAATTTGATGAAAAAACTCATATAAACTATTATTTATTTTCAAATTTGCTTCATAATTCAGCTTATGTCATTTACCATTACTTTGTTTTTTATCTTATCAATAAACTCATATAATCGATTATTCTATAAGTTCAAAATTTAGCTGAATCTTGAGGGTGGGTGGATGTTTCTAAAATAAAACGAACTGTAAACTCATCTCGATAAGTATAGTAAAAATTCAGTTAGATTATTTTCTTTGCCTAAAGCGTTTATTTAATTGAAACTTTACAGGTCACAATAATAAGGGCGTTCATCGTCTTTATCAACGAAATCATTCTCACATTTTCCACGTATTGGTGGCATCCATAAGTTTTCGTAAACGACAGGAACATCATGATCTCTTAATTTTTTCATTTGATCACCGCATCGCTCGAGTAAATCGTTGGGCGCTGGATGAGCAGACCAGAATGGTGAATGATGAACAAATCGACCGAAAGTAACTTGCGAAAATGCTTCGTACATGCGTGTATTAATAATGTGCAAATGAAATGCTTTATCGATTTCATAAGGCGGTCCACAATCTGTCCATAGATTGTCACGAATTCCTGTATAGAAATTCTCCAATTCATAGACGAGTTCTTGAGCACGATCAGCTGAAATATCTTTGTATGTTTGTGGAAGTAACTCAATCAAGTAACTTCGGTCATCATCAGGGAGTGTGACCCTTTGACCAACGACTATAGATGTGATTAAGAACACAGACAAACTAAGAAACAAAAACATCATGTTTGCATACATTGTGATCGAGATTAAATGAGTATATATACGGCACATTGTTTATCCTGTCGTCTTTTTTATACAAAACATTTTTTTTGTTCTGTTCTTCCTGTGACACATGTAAATATCGTATTCGATCACGGCATCACTAGTAATAACGAAGGATTAGAAAAGTAAAGAAGAAACGAAGCCTTTTTCAATCAGCAATTATCAATGTGAGTATCAGCAGATGACGCACAAATACACTAACCATTTTCTATTCGATTATTATTTTATATTAGGTGTACCTAGCTGTCTTAAGTTGTCATCAGACAATTAAGATGGTAGAGATGATCTCGTTTTCATTGATTCCGGTTCACAAACTATACACCCTCAAGAACCGTTTTTCTTCATAGTACAGTGACATCTGATATGATAATATTATACACTATCGATTTCTTATTGGACATTGTAGACACAGAACAACTGATTTAATTCTTCTGTCTGTGTCTATTCATAGTTAATAGTACTAGATACATCAAATAATTCCAATAAACGATATCATGAATCAACATCGAACACATTTTGAAGATTTACCTAATGAACTTTTTGGTATAATTTTCGAATATCTTGCACCACATGATCTACTTCATGGATTTAAGAAACTCAATCGACGGTTTCAATCGATACTTATTCAACAACCACTAAGTTTACCAAGCAATCGATCGATGAGTTATAAACTTTATTGTAATTATTTAATTAAAATTATTCTAAGATATATTTCACAAATTGTTTATCTTCATCTTTCTGAACGACGTGCTCCACATGCAGTTCAACAATTCATTGATAACGTACCATTAGACAGTCAGTTTTGGCCTGCATTAAAAGCAGTAACCATTGAAGATGTTCCACGTGATGTCTTTGAAACACTTCTTGCTGATTGTTCATTCTTAGCGAACATTCAATCATTAACATTGGACAGTGGTTTTCAACTATATCATTGTGATGAATACAATGAATGTGATGATTTTGGTGCTGTTATTCCAATTCTTAATTCTTTACCTGAATTACGTTCACTTTACTTACGAATTGTTAATCGACCGGTTATCTATGTTAATTCAACACCCAATGAACTTGCTTCTCGAATGGATATTCATCAACATCTACAAATACTTTCTATTAATGATTGTTCTAGAGAATTACTAGTTGAACTCTTGAACAATGGCTATTTACCACAACTACGTCAATTACATGTTTCAATTACATGGTAAGTGTTTGCTTCTATAAAAAGTTTTCTTATCTGCTGTAATTTACTTGTCACAAGCATAGTGATATGTCAATCGATCCACCAAATCCGATTCCATTGAAACAAGTTTTTGCGCCTGAATTACGTCAAGTGAACATAAAATTATTCACTGGTGTGACTTGGGTTTTAACTTTTTTCGAAGATCTTCAACGGCATAGTCAACTGGATTGTTTCAATTTATCAGGTCATGTACGATTCACTAACAATAGTAGTTTTCCTCGAGTTGCGGCATTACAAAGATGGTTAACATTGACAAAATCAAATATATTTCAATTTCGAATGAAACTAAGTGCTGATTATAATCTTGGTGCTCAATCAGTTCTAGAAGATATCTGCGTTGAATATCGACGAGCGACTGGTGATGAATATTCAGCAGGATATGGAAATATAGATATTCGTTATCCTGAAATGTCTTTTTCGTATCCACCAGTAAAGGATGAAAATATTTCCAATGAACCAGTAGTTATGAATGAAGGTGAAGGTAATTCAACCAGTAGTGATAATAGTATTTCGGATGAACCAGTAGTCATAGATGTAGATGAAAGTAATTCAACGACGAGTGATGAGTGGTTTCGAGGTGAACCATTGGATGAAAATATCAAAGAAGTAAACAGAGAAGTACACTAAACTTGAGAAAAAACTATTTTTATTTTTTTAGATGGAACTTTCTGAATGCGATTATGTCAATAATGGATTGTTCAAAGAATTACAAGAAATACCTTGTTGGCATCGTTTACAAAGAATTACGATCGATTATGAAGTTCCTATGAATGAAAAGTGAGTTATAAATAATTTCTATTTGTTTCTACCTTAATTAATTGTAGTTATGTTTTTGGTAAGAAACTCACACGTTTAGCACATGTTATTCAATGTTCACCACAACTACGAGAACTTTACATCGAACAAAATTTACAGTATGGTCGTGCTCTAGCATCAAATACAGAACTTGGTATTTTACTTGGCTGTAAACTGGAAGTCTTTTGTTATACTGTCAGTCATGACATTAGTTCACTTGGTGATCTTGCTCAAATTGTCGATACTCTTTTTAGTCATTCATCATCACCACCTTGTTTAAAAGAATTAATTTTAAAAGTCAATGGACATCCAAGTACTTGGCTTTCGACGAAACATTTAGTTCGATGGATCGCCAAACTCTTCAAACGTTTTCCTGTTTTAATTCATTTTACTTTAAACTGTCAACCCCGTGAAGCCTATGAACATAATGAATATAGTTTATCAAAATTAGCTCCTAAATGGTTTGGTGTTTCTTTACTTAGTCGACGAATACGACCAGGTCAAATCGAATACAGACATAAACCATATTCACTTGATATTTGGTTGTAAATCGTTTTTTTTAAAATAAAGATAATACATTCATATATAGCATATGACATAGGCATAGTAATTGTAATATACATTTCATGATTTTACTATCTTGAGGGTGTAGGGTAAATAAGAAACAGACGCACACTCACACCCTCCGACAGGTGATAGTTGCTCTTTGATAGTAATAAAATGTCAATGAATCTATTTATTTCTGTATCTTGGATAAATATTTCGTTATCTTATTTACTTTGTTAGTGTTAGCTTGTTATGTATTTTGGGTGTGGGATGAATGTGAGTAAAGAGGATACATATATCCACACCCACACCCACACCCTACACCCTCATGATTAATATATGAATAGAAAATAAGAGAGATATTAGCCAACTCTCAAACATAAACATAATATGTGTAGTCAGATACGTTTCACCTTTTTCATCTTCCATGTAATGTCATTTACGAATGTTTTCTAATGTTGAAAGTACATTGTAGTATTTTGAGATTGAAATCATACCGAATGATTCAAATTTGTATCCTACTACAGATCTCATCAGACAGTCTCATTATTTGAAAATATATTTTCTACGACTGAAGATGTTCTGTACTCATTTAGATTCAATTAGAAGACAAAAATGATTTCACATAAAACGTGAAATAATTGTATATCTTCGAATTACTAGTCACTTATTTTATATTCGTACATGATCAGTCAACTTTTTTTCCTTGAAAGTTCATGGGAAAATCTATGCTCAATAGTTAACACCACCAAAACACATTGGTCTAATTATTTAAAACCATTCTCTTAGAAAAATGTATTTTATAAACGCAAAAGATTAACGTTTTTATTTGTGTGTTTAATCTACTTATAATTTTAGTTGTATCAAAATTGAGAAAGCAAAGAGTTAATTTACCGTAAAAACAGCTTTTATAATGACATTATCGCACGTGTTTCTTTCGAGATGATACCTTTTTTTCGATGAGAAAAGAACTGTACTCTGTTTTGATGATATGATAATGAGAAAGAAGTTTTGAGAGTCTATATAAATAGATGAGTTTATTTATTTGAATTAAATTTGATGATTTAACTGAAATATTTGTAAATATATCTTGTGTTATTTTCATATGATTAATTAAACCTAAATTAGAAAAAATCTGAAGAAATATTTTCGTTTGAGATGTATAATTTTGCAAAACTTTATTCTCGTCATTAAAACTAAGTTGATTAAAACTTCTTCAATAAATTCTATGTTGATTTTACTTTAAAATACAAATTTAATCATCTGTTGCAAACTTTTGTTTTAATTATATTAAATAAATAAAATTAAATGAATTAAACAAGATCATTTATGATATATATTGTATTGAAAAAGAATTTCTAAGGAGATTTTAAACCTATTGAATATTTTGATGATTCACACAAATAAGTTTAAACTTCATTTCATATCTTTTTCGTTATTCAATCTAATTTAGAATACAAACATATGATATTTCCATTGTGAATATCAGTACGATAATTACGAAAAATATTCAATAATAAAATCGATTTGATTTCGGATTGTGAATATTTCCTTATCTATAAGATTAACACAATAGTTGCAAATAGAATCAAATTAATCAATTTTTATTTTTAATATTAATTATTATCTTTCTCATTCAAAATAATCTTAATTGATATTTTAAAAAAGTTTCAATAATCAAAAAAATTAAATTGAAACAATTTTATTAATTATAAAAATTAGTTTTTGAATAATTTTGAGATTAACCAAATATGAGTATGTAAAATATTATTTTATTAGATTTATTTTTTGTCAAAAAGATTATTATTCTAAATGATAAAATATTTAATCTTAACATAATATAATTAGATTTATTTATTTATTCTCACACTTTTTCATCATTTATATTAAATATTTCACAATTTTTTTTTTTCTTTTCGCTTTAATTTAATTTACATAAATATGATTTTATTAAGAAACTAGATTAGAAATAAATGACAAAAATTAATTATTATACATCGTTTTTTCTATAGAAAAAAAAATCTTTTTTACTCTATTTAATTTTTTATATATTCAATCAATCAATTTGAATTACAAAAAGTTGTTTTATATAATTAATATTTCGTTATCGAATAATTTTGTAAATCATTTTTTAATAAATAATTATATTGAAATTTCATAATAATATCTTTCGGTAAATAGATGGAGCATTACGACGCTAATTATTATTATTTTTCTATCTCTGTATCTCTTGTTGTCGTTCTCCTTGATTATTCGTTATGGTTCATTGATTTATGAATATATTCTTCATGTTATTTGCTTTCATTTCTTCTTACCAAATAAAACATATTTGTTAACTACTTCCTTCATATATCATTCAAGTATTACGATAGTCAGATTTGGTAAGTTGTTTATAATGGACTCTTATTCTGTAAGGTAGGCATCATCACTTAAATTGTCATCAAGAATGAATGGTACAACAACTGTGAGAGTATCAAATAATCTATAATTCGAAATAAAGAGTTTAATAATGATTCTGTGCAAACTGATATGAATAAAGTATTTTTAAATGAATAGAAAATTAGAAAATCAAAATTCTGGAAATAGTTCTACCGAAAAAAATGAAGTAAACGTTTTAAATAAATAAAATATATTTATTTATAATTGAAAACTATTTTTTCCTCAATGCATTTATTTTCTTAGAATAAAATATTTTAAAATCGATTTAATAATAATGAAGTTTATTTTTTATAAAAACCAACATCGTCTTAACACTTTTTTTACACAAAAAAATGTTTTTTTCATAGTTTTATATTTGATTATTAATGGAGATTATATGATTAGTAAAGAGAATACTCCATTCGTAATTCATTCCATCAAAAAAAACTCATTTATTCTTCAGAAGATGATTCAAGTAAATAAAATACATAAGTATTTTTCTTCTTTCTTTTATATGGAGAAATCGAATCAATGTGTTAAATTATTTATCTGAGTTGAAAAATAACAATACTATTCAAAGTTATGAAATTTTGTATTATTCTACAAAGAAATCCTTCGATGTTGATAATAATTATTAGTTAAAGAATGATAAAATATAGACCCCTGTTTTTGCTATTAATGCATATAGAGAGAGAAAGGTTACTTAAGCTTTCTCTCCAATATTGAAGTATCATTATCACTACTTTTAGTATATCCTTTGTTTGAATAAATGCGAACTGTTCTCTTTTTATTTTCCTTACAAAAACCATGAAATCATTCTATAGTCATATGTCTGAGAAGAAAACAAAACATTGATTTTATCTTTCATTAAAAGTCAAACTTCGTATATATACATTATTGATAATCTCTAGTAGATTAATCTTATCAAGGTCTGCCATTTATTTCATTTTGTAATTATAAAAAAACAACAGAAAAGCAAAATATAGGTAGATGAATTATTTTTCGACTCGCGCTAATAACTGATAAAGGGCAGTTTCGTGAAAGATAATATCATTTGCTTTATGTGCTTCTTAGACGACTTAATAAAAAACAGGTTAAAACAAAAGACAATTCATTTTCTTCAATTAATGAAAATATATTGTTCTTGCGTCCCTCAATTTGCATCAAACTGAGGTTAAAAAACTAACAAATGATACAATAATGGCAGAAATGTGACATCCTTTTTTTGACTGTCAGAAGTACAGAATTTATTCGATGATTACATATAGATCAAACAGATAACATCTAAAAACTCTACTCTGTTTTTAGTTTCTTGAATTAAGATGGCCACTGCTCGTCTGCCAAATGATGACTTTTACAAAAACAATGATGATAAGTCTTTGGAAATATTCTCAATTATTTGGCTCGATGCAAATGTAGACGTTAAAGGCGCTCGAAACACAGAAGTAAAATTACGTTCGATTATTAATCATATCAAGAAATTTCAAGATGTAAAACAATGTCAACAATATATTAAACAAGCATCACAGAAAGATCGGTTGGTAATTATTGTTAGTGGTCGATTAGGACTAGAAATAGTACCCTACATTCATCAACTTCGACAAGTTATATCAATTTATGTTTATTGTATGGATAAGAAGAATAATGAGAAATGGGCTTACAAATTTTCAAAAGTAAAATTTTTCTAAAAGATGTTTATTTCATTTTATCACTTTTTCTACAGATAAAATCTGTTGTTGTTGATCTTGATGAGCTCGTCTCCCAAATCACAACAGATCATAAAATTCAGAAAAAGATAGAAGAACCATTATCAATTAATATTTTCTCAACAGGTATTAATGCAGGTAAATCAACAACAGGAGTTAATGGACAATTTGTTTTTTCTCAAATTCTTATTGACTGTCTTCTACAATTAAAATCAACTGAAATAGACGAAAATGAACTTATTAAGCTTTGTGTAAATGAATATGAAGGAAATCATACCGAATTAAGTAATCTTCGTGAATTTCAAGAATACTATTTACCTGATAAAGTGTTATGGTGGTATACAAAAGAAACATTCTTCTACAAGGTTCTTAATGCAGCTTTACGTACACAAAATATTCATGTGATTTTTCTATTTCGATCGTTGATTTATGATATTTATCGTCAGTTGCAAAAATATCAATGTAAGAAGTTTGTACGCGTTTATCGATGTCAGCTAATGTCGATCCATGAATTAAATAGCCTTAAACAAGATATTGCGCAGTTCATTTCAGTAAATTCATTTTTCTCCACCACTGATGATCGTTCAACAGCTCTCTTTCTCCTTGGTGATCTAACTACGCAGATTGATTCAGAACGAGTATTATTTGAAATTGATGCTGATCCGGAGATAGTCAATACAAAGCCATTTGCTAATGTTAGTGAACATAGTTATTTTCCAGTTGAATCAGAAGTTCTCTTTATGATTGGTTCTATTTTTCGTCTTAATAACATTAATCGTGATGATAATCAAATATGGATCATTAAAATGACTTTATGTGATGAAGATGAACATGATTTGAAACAAGTTCTTATGTATATGAAACAACAGATTGAAAGTCGTGAAATGAATCTTCGAATATTAGGAAATTTATTATGGGAAATGGGTAAATTTGACTTAGCTGAAACATATTTTACTCGTTCATTGAAACAAATTCCATTGAATGATCCATTACATATCAGTTTATATGAAGACCTTGGTAAATTAGCGTCCCAGAGAGGTGATTATGATATGAGTATGAAATGGCGTCAAAAATTACTTACATTCAAAGGGAAAAATCCATTAGCTACCAATGTTAGTGTTAATAAAACAAACAATTCTATCGGTAAGTTTATTGAAAGAAAATCTCTGATTTTCAAGAAAGTGATCTATATGAAAATCAATTTTTTCTCGCTGAAAAAAAATCTTTAAACATTCAAAAAGGTGAAACTCATTGAGAGAAACAAATATTCCCTTAAAATAGTTCTGTTTTATATTTATCAGTTAGTAATTTTAGATGACAGATAACTATTTAGAATTGAAATCAACTCGACGCATTAATTATTGTCTAACATGAACTCTATTTATATTTTATATTTTACGATAACATTAGTATTTAGTTCTTCATTTATCTTTCTAAGTCATGACATTTATATGAATAAGTTGAGAGATCTCTCTATTCAATAGTAAATTATATAAGAGAATATAAATATTACATCAGATATCTAATTCAAATGCGAATATAAAAGAAGAATTTAGTGATTAGCACCGATTTGAAAATATATTAAAAAAATCAAAGTAATACTTTCATGTATATTTAGAAAAAAGAAAAAGAAAAAGTTTTTCTTCAATATCATTAATAATTCAAGTTATGTAGCATGAAATGTCTAATTGAATTTCTAATATAAATGAATGATTTATATCAATTATAATAAAATATAACAAATAACAATTTTATTGTACATTAAGGAAACGAATAAAGTTCTGTTTTTTCTATATTTATCATTTATGATAAAAATGATAAATATTGACTCTACGGCAAAAGTTCACAAACAGACTAAAATTTTTTTTCATTTTCGAAGTTTTTGAAACTTCGTAGTTATGTTTCTAACTGTTATATTGATGGAAACCATTTAATGTGTAACAATGAGATATTAACAAACTAAAACGGCAAATAAAAAGCTTTGTCAATGATTTTCATCTGAGGAATGTCAATCAATCATTTCATCAATGGTTTGACAAACTTCTTTGCTTACGAAAAATGAAGGGATAAGTCTATGCCATGACGATTATAGATCATCATAGTTTCTGAAATATAGATAGTTTTCCATTCGAAATAGATTCGCTCAGAAAAAAGTCGAAAACATATAGAGTCACTTTTTTGGAAGTGCTGTATAATTAAAAGTACCTTCCCAGACAGACAAGACCTCTAAAAAAACGCGTAAATACGCATTTAAAATTCGTAAATACACCGTTTTTACGAATTCTTAACGCGTGGGTGTGGGCAATTTTTTGGAAAGCGTTCTACTGCGTTAAAATCTACTCCGTAGTTACTCGTTAAAACGCGGAATTCAAAGTGGTTTTACACGTTATTTTGTGAGTTCTAACGCTTGAAGCACAGATTATCGACGCGTTAGTCACAGCAGACAAAGGCAACGGAGATAAAAATCGTAAAAATGTGCGGTTTTCCCGATTTTATTTTCGTTAAAATTTCAAAATTTCTACGCTGTATTTCTCCGTTTTTTTTGAGTTTTGTCTGCCTGAGTACTGGCTGTGTTCATACGCTTTAGCTTTTAAAACATTATCATATCTATAGCTTATCCATGTGACAATAGAACGTGCTGTGACCAAAATCTCTTTTTGGTATGAAAAACTTCATTTCAATTCGTCGCATTTTGTATCAGCGTAAAGAATGTATGCATAACACGATTAGCCAACATGTATCGAAACCTTAGAAAAGTAGAATAGATCACGATTTGAATAGTACAGAAACTCATTTTTTCTCAAAGGTTCATCTGTTTGGTATTGTTCAACTAAGACTATTGACATGACTTATGATAAACAACATCATGACATTTTGTACTTTTTCACATAAAATGTTTATCCTGCCCGTTTTTAGTTCAGAGATTTCAAAGTGAACTAAACTGAATCCATTGGAGTAATCGTTGTTCCAATATGATTGTCAACGAGAACTATCGAGAATAAATCAAATGTATTCGGTTTTTGCTCACAATATGCATATAGTATCAGTTATAGAGGCGTTGACCATCATATTTACATAAAACTCATTTAATATTAAATTTAAAAACTAATTCAAACCCAAAAATCTTTTATTTAAAAAATTTAAAATAATTCTTTTGATATTTTTGATGAACAAGAAATAAACAATTTCAATTCTTTTTCAACGCAAAATGAAAAGAAATTATTTACGAACAAAATACAAAATGTAGAGAGATAAAACTAAATTTTAATAAAGGTCATTCTTGGATGAATATAAGAAACAGAAATCTTTTTTTTAAATATTAATTTGATATATTTACAAATTGTGTCAAGAAAAAAAGTTGAAATAATTTTGTATCATTATGAATAATGTTGATAATTCTTTTCTCATCCATTTTATTCTCTTTTATTGAAAATGATTTCGATGCGAGTTAAATTAATTCCTGACACCGTATGGTCTACTTTAAAAATCATCAGAACTTTGTATTCTGTTTTTATTCTAATAGAAAAAGATCTTCGACTTCGGTCTCACTCGTCTATAAAATTGCTCAATCTGCTGTATTTGTAAAACAAATTTATTTCTTTTTTGTTAAAATAAGAAAAAATCTATTCAATTCTAAATTCTGTCTTTTTAATTTTTCGTTCTTAAGAATCTTTGTTAAACAAAAAACCAAACTGTGACAATGTTCTTACCGAGTTTTTATTAAAATGTTTATAGAATTTAGTTTTGTTGATCGAGATTTTATCGAAAAAAATATTTATTTGTCAAGTAACTATTGAAATTAAAAAATCTAAAAGAACAAAATATTCTTTTTCAAATATCTTCATTATGTCCGTTATATTAGTTTTGATTTACAATAAAGAATATATCTTTTTCAAAGATAAACAAATCGATTCAGATCAAATTAATTAAATTTTATTTTCAAATAAAAAAACGAACTTAAATATTTTTCATTTTTTATTTTACAAATACGGAGATAATTGTGCTAAATAAATTTAAATTAAATTAAATTCAAACTCAAATTAAATTAACTCAAATCATTATTATTTTATTACATTTCAAAATAACACTTTTTTTATTCACATTTATTCGTCAATTTCATTCAAATATAAACAAAATCTTTTTTTCTTTTAGGACAATCACTTCCTTCCAATCATATTAATAACAACACCAAATGGAAACAACATGGAATCACTATTGTTGGAGGAAATGGACACGGCAATCAATTAAATCAACTCTGTGGTCCTGAAGGTATCTATGTTGATGATGATCATCAAGCTGTTTATATTGCTGATTGTTGTAATAATCGTATTGTCAAATGGAAATATGGAGCAAAGAATGGTCAAGTTGTTGCAGGTGGAAATGGAATTGGAGATCGAAGTGATCAATTGACTCTTCCAAACGATGTAATATTTGATAAAAAGAATGATTCTCTCATCATTTGTGATCAAGGAAACAGGCGAGTGGTACGATGGTCTCGTCAAAATGGTACAAAAGGAGAAACAATCATTTCTGACATTGATTGCCAAAGTCTAACAATGGATAACAATGGAGATCTTTATGTCTCTGACGGCTGGAAGAATGAAGTGAGACGATGGAAACAAGGAGAGACAGAAGGAACAACAGTAGCAGGTGGAAATGAACAAGGAAATCGATTTGATTGGGCTACTCATATCTTCGTTGATAAAGATCATTCAATTTATGTATCTGATGGTGACAATCATCGTGTGATGAAGTGGATGAAACGTGCAAAAGAAGGGATTATTGTTGCCGGTGGAAATGGTGAAGGGAATAGTTTAACACACTTGTCTTTGCCTCAAGGAGTGACTGTCGATCATTTGGGTAATGTTTATGTGGCTGACTGCAACAATCATCGAATAATGCGTTGGAGTGAAGGATCTTGCGAAGGTACTATTGTTGTTGGTGGAAATGGAGAAGGACGAAAACCAAATCAGTTCACTCGTCCCACAGATTTATCATTCGATGTTGAAGGTAATCTTTATGTTACCGATTGGGGTAATCATCGAATACAGAAATTTGAAATTGATCTGAATTAAATTTGTTGATGTTGATGATGAAATGAATAATTAAATTTTTTTATGAAAATATTTTTGTTTATTTTGGTTATAAACTAAACAAATATAAAAATTCAAAATGAATTATTGTTAATAATTAAATTAAGTTTGATTTATTGATAAATATCTTTTTCGATGTGATTTGTTAAAATAATAAAATAAAAGTTTGATTAATTTGATGTTGTATTTTAATAATTAAAATAAAATTTTGTGATTCGATTGAGATACAAATAGAAGTGAGTTCATAATTCTATTGAAGATGAGACAATCTGAGAGGATATAGGAAAGCAAGATGGAAGAATATTGTAGTGTTTCAAAGTTATGTGTATGAATAAATAAAATGAATAATAAGATGAAATGAAAAATAGATCGAATTAATATTTTGTGTGAATAAAACTATTTTCAAAATAAATAAATTTGTTAATTTATTTGATTTGATCTATTGTGATGATAATAATGATATAATAAAATATTTGTTATTATAATTTTGAATTTATTAAGTCTGATAAGATGACATAATGAATTTATGATTTATGATTAAATAAAAACATAGAAAATATTTGAATGGTGAATTGATCGATTTTTTGATAAAATAAGATTTGATGATATTGTTGTTTGTCCTTAGAATAGTAATGAAAGGAGAGAAGATAATAGTGACGATGTTTTATAAATAAAATATAAATGAAAACTAAAATAATTTGTCCACAGAATTGATTTCAACCAATATTTTAAAATAAATAAATGAGATAATTTAATCTCTTCAATCGATTGAAAAGAAAGAAGAGTCGTAAAATATGTGAATAATTGTCACACTATTGTTAGAATTTGTAGGTATGAGTGTGGGTAAAGACGATATTCACCCACCCACACCTACACTTACACCCACTCGTGTCATACCATTAGAACTGATGCAACGACAACATTTTGTACCAGGAAAAGTTGAAACACTTTCTTTACAAGAACCTGATATTGGAGATTTAGAAGTTGTTGAAATTGAACATAATGGTTTTGTCATGAATGGTTATCAAAAGAAAAAGGTGATGCATGTACTAAACGTATACTTAAAGTACAAAATTCTAGTTAATCATGATTTCGTCCTTGTAAAATTTTCTTTTTTTTCTTTTCGATAAAATACAAATTATTTTTTTTTCATTTACATAGTGATTTCATATGAAGTCACATTTTATACATGTGATGTCTCACATGCTAGTACAGATGCAAATGTATCACTTATTCTTTATGGTACTCTTGATAATATTGGTATTCGAAAATTAAAACGAAAAGGTCGAAATTTATTTCAATGTGATCAGGTTGCTGAATTTATTATTGACTTCTAGGTAAATTAACTAGATTACATATCGAACATGATAATTCTATGATATTTTTTGATTGGTTTCTCGATAAGGTTGAAGTTATTAATATGGATACAAATGAAACTATTGGTTTTCTATGTAATCGATGGCTTGGTAAAAAACATGATGATCATAAACTTCAACAAGATGTATTACCAATAAAAATCTCATAAATCTATGATATTTTATTTTTCTGTTTACTTGGGGAATAGAATGAACACGATTATAAAAAAAAATAACTAAATCTATTTTCTTTTCATATTACAACAAATGTGTAAAAGTATTGGATTTAGACAAATTATGAAAAGTATACATGTTTGTGTGTTGGGTGTGTGTGAGAAGTCAAAGAGCGAACATCCACTACTACCCACTCTCAAGTATTATAGTTTAATTCTTGTATTTGAAGTGCATATTAGTTTCGGCTTAATTTCTTTATCGCGGATATCAAATATAAATTTCTTAGTAGACGCTTCTGTAATGAAATTCTCTGTTTATGTCAAATAAAGAAATATATTAAAATCCAATAAAAAAAGTAATGTGAGCTATTATTGACAAACTCTATAAAAAAAAGGTGTTTGATAAGAAATAAATAAATTTATCATACACCTCGATAGATGTGAATCGTTTTTCAAAGAAAATAACGTATATCTAACGAAAAAAATGTCTATCTACATCTTATTAATAATAATAAGGGACTGTACTCTGTGATGTTATTATACATTTTACCATTATATATTCGAAAGGAGACAGTATTCTGTAAGAAAAATACCTTTTATTAATCACATATTGATAAGTAGATATCACTTTTCTTTTTATATTTATTTTAATCAATTAATCTTCTACCTATCCTTTACTTTTATCGTTCTCTATATATATTTCAAGGAGGATAAAGCGGACTTCTCTTGAGGGTGTGGGTGAATATGGTTGTAAATAGATGAATAATGGATGGGTACAACATTCATGTTCATCCTTAGTTATATACACACTCTTATAGTCAAGATGATTCTAGCAAGATTCTTTATTTTTTTGTTATTAAAGAATCTTTTGTGGACAGGGTGGCGTTAAAGTTCTGTTTGCTCTGTTTCTGATAATTACTTTCAATATCATATACTGATTGTCATTCAAATTAGATCATTATACTTCGTTTGAATTGAAAACGGTGTATTATAAACTTCAGATAATCCATATTTTATAGAACTTTGATATGTTTTATTCTTTTTAAAATTAAAAGATATATGAAATAATAGTACTTTTTATTCATTGAGAATTAGTGTAAAGTGATATGACAAAATGTTTTTTTTGTCCTGTTCTTCTGTATAAGATTTGTTGATAGTGAGAAGAGAAAAAATAAAAATGAAAATTTAATTTCACGTTTTTTTATCGAGGAACAATATTAACTGTCTGATGAATTATAGAACTCTGACTACTCGTTATTATTTGTGAATATAATACAAAAATTGTTATTCCAATATGATAACAAAAACTGATGTTAATGTTCTGGTGCTGATTCATTTGATTATTATCAATCAAATATCAAGTAATCATTGTTATTTGCAAATAATCTTTTTCATTTATGTTTTATTTCAAATTCTGTACCCAAATCAATCCAATATTTGAAAAAAAAAAGATTATACTTAGTTGATTGATGAATTGTCATATCTTTATAGACTGTTGAATACTATTCATTGAGAATAGACCACCGTAAAGATATGGGCTACGAGAAAATACGTCCATCCTGAGTATTTTGGATATTAAATCTTTCTGAAAATCATATGATATCTTTTCAAATTTAATTTCTCTTTTGAAATAAATTTAACGAAAATTTTTCTTTAAGGATTTTCATTCAATCAACCAAAGTTTTGTGCAACAGCTATTTGGAATTCCAATGGAATTACTTTTGCTAATCGATCGATTGTTGGTGAAAATCCTTTCGCCATTTTTGTGAGCACAAGCAATACAATCTACGTCGCTAATAAAGAAAATAACACAATTGTAATGTGGGAAGAAGAGAGTGTTAATCCGACAAAGGTCATTACCGGTAATTTTACAGTCTCTGAATCTCTCTCCGTGACATCAAATGGTGATATTTATATTGATGATGGATTTAAGAATGGTCGAGTACAGAAATGGATAGCACAAACAAATACCTTTGTAACAGTAATGAATGTCAACTCATCATGTTATGGTTTGTTTGTTGATATCCATGATACTCTTTATTGTTCAATGACTCAGCATCATCAAGTACTGAAAAGATCATTAAATGATTCTGTGATGACTTCAAATCGTGTTGCTGCTGGAACAGGTATTTACGGATCAGCCTCCAGCCAACTCTATAGTCCTCATGGAATCTTTGTTGATGTGAACTTCGATTTATATGTAGCAGATTGTTACAATGATCGTGTTCAGTTATTCCAGTCTGGAGAGTCAAACGGTATCACAGTAGCTGGAAGTACATCACTAAATCCAACAATTACACTTCGCTGTCCAAGCGGAATTATATTAGATGTTGAGAAGTACTTATTCATTGTGGATTCTGGCAATGATCGTATTGTTGGTTCAAGCTTGAATGGTTTTCGATGTTTAGTTGGATGTGATGAAAGTGGTTCGCAATCCAACCAATTGTATAATCCATTTAGCTTTAGTTTCGATCGTTCTGGAAACATATTTGTTACTGATTCATATAATCATCGAATTCAAAAATTTCAATATTTCGAAGAATCATGTAATAAGTTTAAAATGCTTGAATAGTCTCTAACATCATTTTAATCAATAGTTACTCTGAAAATTAAAAAGAAAAACTGTTATAGAAGATGAAGATGAAACTCCTCATGGATTTCGAACTGAATTATTGAATGGTTAAGTTCAAATCTCAAGTTTCATTCTAATATACTATTGTTATAAAATAAAAACTTTGCTTATTCATTATTCCCTACAAAACTCAATCGATCACATTATTGTCATGTTAGTTGCATGATATAGATGGACGTTAGAATATCTATGTGTTTAGTAGGAACGTCAGACATGAATTCAGTCCTTTTTGTTGAATTTTTTTTATAAATTTTCTTTGATTCACCATTATCTGAGCTCACGTATCGCTGCTGACTGTATAAAATAATGAACACAATAGTTTCATGAAGCGTGAAACACTCATGAGAAGTCAGGTTTGCGTCGAATTCCATATTCTAGAAGAAAATAAGTTTTGCATAGTTGTTCAATGTGCTTTCAAATTCATACATGTAAAACAGCTGTCAGAGAGAAATAACCCTATGCTCAAGCGTTAACCACAACTTGCGGTGCAATCATAGAGATTCAGAATGTCATTTTTACTCTTGAGATGAGAAATTGATTATGTTATATTTACGATCATGATTTTGATTGACGAACGGGAATAGAGTGAGGATTATCATAGAGGAGTGAGATTCGAAAGTAGGTCAGTGTCTAATAAAAAAATAATTAAAGAGTCGCTCTTCTAATATTTTAACAATGGATCGAATGGTACTTCCAAAGCAATATTTTCTTGATGATGTCATGTCATACTCGTAGATTGACTAGAACTTTATGAAATAGTTTTATTAGATAGTTTATTGTTATGCTTAGTAATACCAACAAAAAAACTAATGTTCTGCATTATATTTATAAAAGAAGAAAAGTTTGAAGATAAAGATGATAATGAAGAAGTCATACATTTGTGAGTCTATGATTTATCAGGCTTTCTTAGTTTAGAATGATACTCGTTTTTGTATATGAGGTTTCATAACATTTCTCTATTGTAATTACTCCAACGTCTCTTAGAAAGAACATGCGAATTTTAAGGGCTAACGCTGAAACTTGTTCAAAAGACGCTAAATAGATATTTTATTTCATATTTTTCTTCATTTCTCTATCAAAAGCATTGCTCTAAAACAAACAATTCAACTCTCATTAGGTAACATAAAGTGGAAAGCAAACTGAAAACACTTTTCTTCATTGTAAATACAAATACTCATTGGTTTTTATCATTCAGTAGATAACTCATTACTAATAAAATCAATGTACTCATCATCACTGACCTCGAATAGTTCAACTTATTTCGAAGATTGTTCTATGTTAGATTCGTATTATGAAGCGATACAAATGAACGTCACCCTAACTGGATATTATACTTTTCTAATCAATAGCGAGATGAAAACTACGTATGCTTATATCTACACAAACTACTTCAATCCATTCGATATATCCAAAAATTTGCTGAGTCTTGGTGAAAACTCTGATGATCAAGGTCAATTTCAACTCACAGCTGTTCTTCAAGCCAATATGATATATGTTGTCGTTATAACAACATCTTCTCGGAATTTAATGGGAAACTTTTCAGTTCAAGGATTTGGCCCAAGCTATATCGGTTTCAATCGTATTTGTGAGTGCATATTGTATTTTAATAGATAATCAGCTGCACTTACTTACCATCGGTAGAAAATATAGATAAACTCAATCTACTAAATGATATACAGATATTTCTGTTCGATAGAGAATAAGATTCATACCACCTCTAGTCGCTTTCAATAAATGTATCTGAGAGAAAATGTAGTATTTCAAAATGTTTACATTTATTTCCATCTGACCCAAAATTGAATCAATTTTCTTTTTCGTTAGTGAATACTCCATCAGTTGTCCAAACAGTTTATGCATCGAAATTGGCAACGAATAGTTCAACGTATTCACTTGATTGTTCAAGTTCAAGTTCTTACTATGAAGCGATACAAGTGAATGTTCGTAGAAGTGGTGTTTACACTTTCTTCAGCAAAAGCAATATAGACACATACGGCTCTATTTATAAAGATTATTTCAATCCATTTAACCCAATGGAAAATCGACTCTTATACGATGATAACAGCTGCAATCAACGTCAGTTTGGATTTAAAATTGCTCTTGAGACTGGTATTTCATATATATTGGTTGTAACAACGAATGACTACCGTGAGCTAGGTGCATTCTCGATCTTTGTATCTGGCCCAGATAATGTTGATCTCAAGAATATTAGTAAGCGTTTGTACTACAACTTTTGAATGAATATCTGTCAACGTTAGCATGAGCACGTATTTTGTTGAGTTTGGCATATCCGCAAACAAAAAACTTCTTTTGTGAGATGACACTTGTACTGTAAGAAGAAGTCTTTACACAAAAAGGTAAATTAAACTCATCAGATTACAGAATATTATGAGTAGTATCGGAAGAATTCCTCTTGAATTTGAGTCTGTTTCCGTTTATCTCTAGTCTGATGTGAATAATATACAAATCGACAACAATCCCTGCTCGTCACTGTGAAATGAAAAAAAACTATATTCTTTTTGTTACAACATGTCCTATCACTCACTATTCCAATAATATAAAAATGCTGCAAACATTTAAATATAATGTGTCGTATATAAAAAAATATAAACATATTCTTACTCTGTATGAATCTAAAAGATATTTTTACGTGCTTTTATTTCATTGACAGTGATATTATGGAGAGTCCTCTCTTCAGAAAGCTAGGCTCAGTTCTGACATGCCTTCCGATATTCAGGGTATGTAAAAGATGATTTATGATGCTTAATTATCTTTCGTATATCCAAACGATTCCTCTTTCTCTCAGCCAATCAATCTGATAGAAAGATTAAAAAGTCAAATAGAATTGGAAAATTGATCTTGTCTTTTAGCAACAACAACAAAATCATCATATGCTTGCATGAACTATCGTTCTACATGGATGTTAACTATGATTTATCCACTTATTAATTTAATGAAAAAACTAATATAAACTAATATTTATTTTCAAATTCGTTTCATAATTCAGCTTATGTCATTTAGCGTTGCGTTGCTTTTTATCTTATGAATAAATTCATTTAGTTTTCGAAAAACTTATTTGAATCTTGAGGGTGGATGTGAATGGATGTTTATAAAATAAAAAGAACTGTGAACTCATATCGTAACGATATAGTAAATACACAACGATAAGAGACATAATTTCCATACTTTTTTAAAGATATTTATTGCGAAACTTTATTAAAATAACATATTCATATAGTTAAACATCTTTTTTTGCATTGAAATTTGTAAATGAAATCAGTTCACCAATTATGGCACGATAGCTTAAAGACAATAATGCGAACCATTACGAGTGTGAGTATCGGTATTCACCTCTTTCCTCATTTGAATCCACATCAACACCCCCATACTCACACCCTTTTTCGATCGCAGTTATGATATTGTAATTGTGTTGATAAATTCCGTTGAATAGATATTTCTCCTTCATATTTAAACTAAATAGTGACTATATCCTTGATTATAGAGTGTCGTTTCAATTTAGTTTTCAATCAAACTGGTACAGATTGAAAATTTCAAGTATTTACTACAAAACTTTTAACTTGTGATTGGTGTTCTGCTTCGATCAAATATTTGCTGTGTTTTTTTCAGTTTCATCGATTCTTGTGTGACATGCTTATTGCATTATATTAAAATAGATTTTAAAACCTCTCCAGTCAACTAACTATATAAAAACTATTGGAATTACTTCAGAATTGATTCTCTTACTTTAATGATGCATAGAAGATTCACTTTGAAATATTTTATTGTTGCTTAGGAATAACTAAAAATTCAATCTGTACTAATTCAATGTAAAACTAAACTGGGTTTCCGTTATTACCTTGATATATATATATGAAAAAGTCGTCAACTGATACTAAGAAAGAAATTAACAAGAACGACAAACAATATCTACAGTTATCATTAACATAAGTATAAATAGGTAAATATAGGATTGTTTAAATTGATGAGAAAAGGAGCCGACCGATAAAGATTTTTATCCACTTGTATTCGAAATTGAAAAAACATCTACTAATTTGCCGAAGTAACTTAACTAACATTGATTATATCTTTATCGAAAAATGAATCAAAATTTTGTTGATATTTGTTTTGAAAATATTGAGAATAAAAATCATGAACGTGAATCAATTCCTGTTATTTATACTCAATTAATTAATTTTATTTTTCATTAATTACGAGAGAATCATGCAGACAGAGAGAAAATAATTACATATCTACATTTTATTCACGAGGATAATTTATAATCAACATAGAAATATTATTCTTTTCTTGATATAAACTGTTCCATATGTCACAATTAACATTATTTTTTATTTTAATCAATGAAGACAACGACATTGAATTGTATTATACTAAAATATAAGTGAAGATTGCTTAAATGATTATAAAGAATCTAAATCTTTCGATATCTAATTGAAATTATATGATGAACACGAAATCAACGTATATGTATGAAAGGAATGACATTTTGAGATATTACAAAAAATATTTTCTATAATTATCATAAACGCCTCTTTCTGTTTTGTTAGTATAGTAAAAAATAGAAACATACGGTTTTACTAAATAAATGCTTTATATTCATAGTTGACTGAACCAAAAATATTATATCAAAGATTTTGTTTTTTTATTTAGTGTCAGTAATTATAAAAGTGACCAAGTGAAAATCAACGATCAGGAAAAAGGGTAGTTTATCTTTAATTGGATTCAATGACAACAGAAATTGATATCACATCATCAAATATACAGTATGTTAATTGTATTAGTTGAAATATATATATCACAAATTATAAAAATACTTTAGAATTCCAGTTGGTAGGGAAAAACGACGATTATGTATGATAATCAAAATTATTCTGATCTTATTAATGATTGCAGTAACTGTGATTCCGTCAGTGATTGTTTTAATACTAAAAACAGGTACGACAACTGAAACTATGATGAATATGACTGTATCATTTATAACGACAGTATCAACTGACATAACAACAATTTCAAAAACGACAACGACATCAGTGACAAAACCAATTGGTGAGAAAGTTTTAGATTCTTTTTTAATGTAAATTTTCTTTCTTTTTTGTAATTTTATAGTGTTGCAAATCTTTCGACGAACAAACGAAGTCGTCTATGCAATATGGAATACAATTGCAGGCGGTGATAGTTCACCATCTTCACCCGGCCAAAATACAGGTACATATTGGCCTAGTGAACCACCTGAAGCTGCATTAGATGGTAATTTAAGTTCAGAATATACCAATCATGGGATTTGTAGTGGATCTAGTCCATTATACGATATATGCGGAATAAAAACTGGTTTTTATATAACATTCAAAAGTAAACCGTTCATTCTCGTGCAGTTTCGTATAGCTACAAACAAAGATTCTCAACTTCGAGATCCAAACACAATTACAATTGAAGGTAGTAACAATAAAGAATCGGATTTAGTTTTTGGAAAAAGTTGGACTTTGATTTATGATGATGATGCAGGTGTCATGAGAAATCCAAGAAGACAAGCGTATGGTGGTATACAAACAATACTCAATAATTCTTTGTCGTTTGCAAGCTATCGTATTCTCATTACTTCAAAAAGAGGAAAACATAATTGTGTTTCTTACTCAGAATTTGAGATGATAGGACGATTTCCCGAATGATATGTTTGAAAGACACTTAACTGACTGGCAGCGCTTATTAATTATGAGTCAGGATGCAGATGTAGTGTGGTTTGGAATCGAATGAATGTCCTTTTTTTCCTTATCCTGATCCTAAATCCTTTAATTATTATGAATAAAATAAAATAAAATGCAAATCAATTAGTTTATTATAACAGATGAATTGACATTTATATACGAATATTTTTTCTCTTCATTTGAAAGCCTTTTCTCTCTTTTTTAATCATCGATTTTAGTTCATTAAACAATTATCATGGCATCATGTTTCTCTTGTGTTGGAAAAGAGAAGAAATTGATAAATAATAAACCTTTAGAAATGATAAACAGAATTCTATCATATCCATAATCTCAAATATTCTTCAATTTAATGATAAATTTGAGATTCCACAACTGATTTCAAGTTAAATTGACATTATGATAAAGTAGGAAATATTAATGTCGTTGGTACTTTTCTAATACATGGAGTTCTTTGCTTTGTAAACATCTTTCATAAATCTAGTCTATACAAATGATATCGAATATAATTTCGTTGATGATATTCAAGAGATTCTTTTTTTTAAATTTGTATACAAGGAAAATAAATAAAACATCTACTTGAGGGTGTGGGTGTGGATCTCATTCTCAACTACACCTATCCACATTCACACTCGGGTACCTCTGCTAGTAATAAATAAACTTAAATTACTGATCGGATGAAATCACAAAAAAAGAAACTGGAGATAATTTATTTTATCAAATTAAACTTTTATATATCGATATAAAATGTATGTATGATATATTATTACACAATCATCTTAAACATTTCTTTGCTCAGAAAAGAATTAACACACACACATGTATATACATATAAATATTCATTTAAAAATGTGTACACGTTGTTGGCTGTCTGTCATCGATCGTTTTCTTCTCTTATTTAACTTGACGAGAAAAAGAACCATCTTGAGGGTGGGTGTGTGGGTGGATATGTCTTTTCTTTCCTTCCAGTGATACGTGAATTCACACCCACACCCTCACGATATCATGTGAAACAAATTACCATCATGTGATACCATCAAAAGAAACAACTTATCGTGTAACAGTAAAAACAACTGATATATTTGGCGGGAGTTGTGAATGCAATGTTTTTATTGTTATTTCGGATAGAAGATTAGATATTCTCATATAATATATAGGTGTAAATGATGATAGTGGAGAATTAGAATTAAAACATTTTCCTGCATATAAAATAAATTTGAACGTAATCATAAAGATGTATTTATGTTTGAAACTATTTTAAATTTGGGTGAATTAACTAAATTACGTGTATGGCATGATGATTTATCAATAATAAAAAATTCATGGCATTTAGAATATGTACAAATTGATGATACACAAACAGGAGAAACATATATGTTTCCATGTAATAAATGGTTATCATCAAAGAAAGAAGATCGACAAACTGTACGTGAACTTGTATGTAGTAATTATTCACCAAATACAAGTCGACGAGGATCATTAACATCACCATCAGGAAAAGTTCCATATGAAATTGAAATTTCAACATCAGATAAACAACATGCAGGTACAACTCAACATGGATGGATTATTCTTGGAGGGAATAAAAAACGATTAGAAAAATTTCATATGAAAAATACACCACATAATAAAATTTTACGAGGGTAAGAAAACTATTTAAAATATATAATATTATTTCTTATTATAAAATTATTTAGTGGACAAAAGGATACATTTCCATTTGAATATCGATCACTTGGTGAATTACGTCGTATTATTTTAGGTTATAAAGAACGAAATGAATATCCACTTAAAACATATGAAGGTCGTGAAGCTATGTTGGACATGTAACTATTACAGATCCATCTACAGGCGTTAAGTTTGAATTTCCTGTACGAAAATGGATTGATATTAATAATGAGAGTGATGTTTTTGAATGTGCTGAGAAAAAAGAACATATTATTGCACAACAACGTCATCGTCATGCAATTAAATATAAAACTATCGCTCATACAGGTGATGTATCATATGATAGTACAGATGCAAATGTATCACTTATTCTTTATGTTAATCTTGGTGTTACTGGTATCCGAGAATTAAAACAAAAAGGTCGAAATTTATTTCAATGTGATCAGTTTACTGAATTTATTGTTGAATTCTAGGTGAATTAACTAAATTACATATTGAACATGATAATGCTATGTTATTACCAAATTGGTTTCTTGATAAAGTTGAAGTTATTAATATGGATACAAATGAAACTATTAGTTTTTTTATGTAATCGATGGCTTGGTAAAAAACATGATGATCATAAACTTCAACGCGATTTATTACCAATAAAAATCTCATAAATCTATAATATTTTATTTTTCTGTTTACTTGGGGAATAGAATGAACACGATTATAAAAAAAAATAACTAAATCTATTTTCTTTTCATATTAAAATAAATATATAAAAATATTGGATTTAGACGAATTATGAAAAGTATACATGTTTGGGTGTTGGGTGTGGGTGAGTGTTTGAGAAGTCAAAGAGCAAACATCCACTACTACCCACTCTCAAGTATTATAGTTTAATTCTTGTATTTGAAGTGCATATTAGTTTCGGCTTAATTTCTTTATCGCGGATATCAAATATAAATTTCTTAGTAGACGCTTCTGTAATGAGATTGTCTGTTTATGTTAAATAAAGAATATATTAAAAGTCATCAACAAACAAGTAATATGAGCTATTATTGACAAATTATACAAAAGAGAAGGTGGTTGACAAGTAATAAATAAATTCATCATACACCTCGGCAGATGTGAATCGTATTTCAAAAAAAAATAAAGCGTGTCTAACGAAAAAAATGTCTATTTACAATTTATTAATAAATAACAAGGGACCGTATTTTGGGATGTTATTATATATTTTACCATTGTATATTCAAAATGAGGCGATATTCTGTAAAAAAGAACACCTTTTATTATTGACATATTGATTAGTAGATATTACTTTTCTTTTTATATTTATTTTAATCAGTTAATCTTCTGCTTATTCTTAACTTTTGTCTTTCTCTGTAAATATTTGAAGTGAGATAAAGCGAACTTCTCTTAAGGTTATGGGTGAATATAGTTGTAAATAGATGAATAATGGATGAGTACAACATTCATGTTCATCGTTAGTTACATACACACTCTTCAAGTCAAGATGGTTCTAGCAACATTCTTTATTATTGTTTTGTTATTAAAGAATCGTCCATAGACGGTGTAGCGTTAAAATTCTGTTTGTTATGTTTCTGGTGATTAGTTTCAATATCATATACTGATTACCATTCGAATTAGATCATTATATTTCGTTTGAATTGAAAACGGTGTATTATAAACTTCAGATAATCCATATTTTATAGAATTTTAATATGTTTTATTCCTTTTGAAAGTGTAAGATATATGAAATAATAGTACTTTTTATTCATTAAGAACTAGTGTAAAGTGATATGACAAAATATTGGTTTTTATGCTTTTCTTCTATATAAGATTTGTTGATTATGAGACGAAGAAGGAGATTAAAAATGAAGATTTAATTTCACTTGTTTTTATCAAACAACAGTATTGACTTTCTAGCGACTTATAAAAGTCTCACTATTCGTTATTATTTGTGAGCATAAAACAAAAATTTTTCTTTCAATATGATAACAAAAACTAATGTTTATGTTCTCGTGCTAATTTTGTTGGTTATGATCAATCAAATATCAGGTAATCATTATTAATTCAAATTCTGCACCCAAATCAATCCAATATTTGTAAAAAAAAATAACATTAGACTTAGTTGATCGATGAATTGTCATATCTGTGTAGACTGTTGAATACTACTCATTGCGAATAACCACGCCCATCCTCAGTATTTTAAGCATTAAATCTTTCCAAAAATCATATGATATTTCTTAAAATTTAATTTTTTCTTTAAGCAGCTTCATTTAATCAACCGAAGTTTCGTCCAACAGCTACTTGGAATCCCACTGGAATTACTTTTGCTAATCAATCGATTGTTGGTCAATATCCTTCCACCATTTTTGTGAGCACGAACAACACAATATATGCCACTAATCCAGAAAAGAACACAATTGTAATGTGGCAAGAAGAGAGTGTCAATCCAACAAAGATCATTAGTAGTGATTTTAAGCAACCTTTGTCTCTCTTTGTGACATCAAATGGTGGTATCTATATTGATGATGGGCATGAGAATGGCCGAGTGCAAAGATGGAATGCAGCAACAAGTACCTTTGTCACGGTGATGAATGTTAACTCATCATGTGCTAGTTTGTTTGTCGATATCCATGATACTCTTTACTGTTCAATGTATTATCAGCATCAGATATTGAAAACATCATTAAATGATCCGATGATGAATTCAAATGTTGTTACTGCTGCTGGAATAGGTATTCGAGGATCAGCTTCCAACCAACTCGATTCTCCTTTTGGAATCTTTGTTGATGTGAATTCCGATTTATATGTAGCAGATTGTTACAATGACCGTGTTCAGTTGTTCCAGTCGGGCGAATTACATGGCATCACAGTAGCTGGAAGTACATCGCTAAATCCAACAATTACACTTCGTTGTCCAACTGGAGTTATATTAGATGCTGATAAATATTTATTTATTGTGGATTTCCTCAATAGTCGTATTGTTGGTTCAGACTTGCATGGTTTTCGATGTTTAGTTGGATGTTTTGGACAAGGATCACAATCCAATCAATTGGCTAATCCAGTTAGTTTTAGTTTCGACAGTTATGGAAACATGTTTGTTTCTGATCAAAGAAATTCTCGAATTCAAAAATTTTTATTAATGAAAGATTCTTTTGGTAAGTTGAATAAAACGAAGAGATGTAAATAGATAAGTAATAGAAGTTAATAAATATGTTTCAATCGTCTAAAGCAAGCAATCTTCAACTTTTTGTTGAGATTAAATAATAAAGAAAGAAAAAGTTCTATCCTTAATGAAGTGGTAGAACGAGCTTTCGTGTGTCATTTCATATCTCTCAAAGAATATTTCATCGATGAAACGGGCTTTATTTTAAAAAGAACCAACTTGATAATTAAAATTCACTTGAGAAAGGCGAATGAAACGTTCAAAATTCCAAAGAAAGATTTTTGATTGATAAAATTTCTCCTTAGATAAATAATTTCTTTTATTCAACTATTTTCTTTGATACAATTTATTCTTTCTATTTTTCTTATTTTTAGACCTTTCATTTAATCAACCAAAGTTTTGCCCAACAGCCACTTGGAATTCCAATGGAATCACTGTTGCTAATCAATCAATTGTTGGCCGACATCCTAATGCTTTTTTTGTGAACACAAACAATACAGTTTATGTCGCTAATCAAGAAAAAAACACAATCGTAGTCTGGCAAGAAGATAGTAATAATCCAACAAAGATCATTAGTGGTGGTTTTATGCAACCCTTGTCTCTCTTCGTAACATCAAATGGTGATATCTATATTGATGATGGTGATCATAATGGTCGAGTGCAGAAATTGAGTGCAGCAACAGGTACCTTCGCCACGGTGATGAATATTAACTCATCATGTGCTGGTTTGTTCGTTGATATCCATGACACTCTTTACTGTTCAATGCCTGATCATCATCAAGTAGTGAAAAGATCATTAATTGGTTCTGCCATGAATTCAAATGTTGTTGCTGCTGGAACAGGCATTTATGGATCAGCCTCGAATCAACTCGGAAGTCCACGTGGAATCTTTGTTGATGTGAACTTGGATTTATATGTAGCAGATTGTGGAAATAATCGAGTTCAGTTGTTCCAGTCAGGTGAATTACATGGCATCACAATAGCTGGAAGTACAACACTAAATCCAACCATTACACTTCGTTGTCCAAGTGGAATTACATTAGATGCTGAGAAATATCTATTCATTGTGGATTCTGGCAATCATCGTATTGTTGGTTCGGGGGTGAATGGTTTTCGATGTTTAGCTGGATGTTCTGGAATGGGTTCACAATCCAATCAATTGACTAGTCCATCCAGTTTTAGTTTCGATCACTCTGGAAACATATTCGTTACTGATCAAGCAAATCATCGAATTCAAAAATTTCAATACTTGAAAGAATCATGCGGTAAGTATTGAAATAGTTTAATATAACGTTCAATTTTTGCATAGTAGGATTAGTTTTCTACAAAAATTCTGGTATAGAAGAAAATTTATTAAAGTTATTCATTTCTCTCTGCATCAGTATAGATATTTTCTAAAGAAAATGACTCAGTAGTAAAAGCTTATCATACAGTTCCTGATCCATACGAATCAGCTGATGTAAAGATTATTTCTCAGATTATTTTATACATAACTACTGTCAAACACATAATTTATTTGACTCTCTATTCTAATAAATGTGTATTACACTTTAGTACTTTCAAAATAAAAAAATGTGTAACTCACATATCATTCATTCACTATGCGCACTTATTAGTAATTGGAAGAGGGACGAGTGCTGGAAAACTTAACTCAAAATCTACCTGAGTTCCACAAAATCGAAGAAAAATGTAGAAGACGTGCTAATGATATGAATAACACTAATTATTAGCTCTATACACATAAGACACATATAGGATTACTAAACAAATCTAGTTGTAATGATTATAATTCAGTCACATTATTAACTGAGAAGCTCAAGTCGAATTACTCAAAAGAGATATTTAACTCCCGATGTTATGATAGTCTATAGATACAGTCTTTAGTAACTGCTTACATGAAATGTTCGACAGATGAAGATATTATTTTGTTTGACAAGAGTTTTATACTTTTATTGAATAGACAAGCCATCAATGGTCGAAACAATGTACACATCTGTATTAACATCAAATCATCCAATATATCCACGTACTGGTTGTGATATTTCGTACTACTATGAAGCTATAAAAATTCAGGTTTATAAAAGTGGTCATTATAGTTTTAATAGTATGAGCAATATCAATACATACGGCTATATGTACGCAAAGTATTTTGATCCATTTAGTGCGTCTGCATTTTTAATCTCCGCAGATGATGATAGTTCCAGTAATTCTCAGTTCAATATTAGTATTCCTCTTGAGATCAATATTGAATATATATTGGTTGTAACAACATTTAATTCAAATGTAACAGGACCATTCTCAATCCGTGTGTCTGGTCCCAACCGTGTCGGTCTCGAACGTCTAAGTAAGTATCGATACCATTTGAAAAAAAAATAGTTTCAAAAGTATAAATTGTAGGAAATATTTATATAATTAAAATCTCATTGATTAAAAAAGATTAGCTCTTCATTTATTCAAGAACAATTTTGATACTTCTGTGTCTTTGCTCTAAAAAAGAATAGTACTTAGAATACTTTTTCATATTCCATCTAGTATCTATTTTCTTTGAATGTCTTAGATAAGTTTTTATTCATAATATTCATTACACTTAATAGAGATAAATTTTCAAAGACATTCATACACTATTGAGAAAAGTGATTTCTCGTTATGTATTGACTAAAATGTTTGTTCTTTAACGTAAGTTCAAGATACGTGTTACTCGTATGTCACAAAAACTTGATTAGATAAATACAATAAAGTTCCTTTCTTGCATTCTACATGAAATGTTTTTTATAATTTTTTTCTGTTTGTTCACCGAAATCGTCTGTGTTCTTTTTAATAAAATAGTGACCTCAGGAAAATGTATTTGTAAAAAAATCACTATTCAGAAACTATTTTCAATGTAAATAAATATATCAAGTATTCTGATTGATTAGATAGTCCACTAGTGATCCAATCGACATACTTATCAATGTTGACAGAGAATAGTCAACATTTTCCTCAACCCTCTGAAATTGGAAAATATTATTATGAAAGTATACAAATCAATGTGAACATGTCTGGATTATTTATTATTTCAAGCAAGAGTCGGTCTGATTTATTCGGGTCTATCTACAAGAATAGTTTCAATCCATTAAATCCGACTGAAAACTTACTCCAACTGGATGATAATGGATGTTCTGATAATCAATTCAAACTCTTAATTGCTCTTGAAGTCAATACTAAATACATATTAGTTGTAGCAACATCACAAGCAAATGTTACAGGAACATTTTCAATCATTGTGTCTGGACTAACAAAAGCCGTTCTTGAACGTACTAGTAAGTACTCATTTTATACTGTAATAAAAAAACAGTGTAAATGCATTCAGTTTTATTATGTATTGAGTTTTCCAATCAGCTAGATGATTCAGTGTCGTTTATATACGTGGTTTATAAGATTGCTTTGTATTTGAAAATGGCAAGTGACTAACTGATACAGATGAATCGATCCTATGCGTTTGAGAAGATCGAATTATCTTAATCCGCAAATAGAATCACAAGATAAAGATGGTTTAATAAAAATGATGAAAACATGTGTAAACATCGATGTTTCAGCGAATGAATTCTAAAGATTGAAAAGATAGAAGAAATATGGGTATTTTAATATCTCTGTGGATGTTGGAATTAGTAGAGGTACGAGTAGATTTGGATATATGAATGAGTGCACGGATATCATACTTACCTTCAAGATAATAATAACTTACATTTTACATTGAATAATCGATTTGTTTATTAAGATACATCATCTACATCTACATCAACTGCATCTAGTAAGTAAAACATAATCTCTATAAATAATATTGAATTAATTAAAAAAAATTTAAATACTCATTTTTCTGCTTAGTATCATATTTTAAAGAGATGAAAATAATTAATTCTGATAAAAAAATTGAAAACTTGATTTCGTCTTTTAGCAACAATTAAATCATCATATGCTTGCATGAATTATCATCCTACGTGGGCGTGGGTGTGAGTGTGAAAATATAATTTATCCGTCAGTGATACCCATCCACACCCACACCCACTCCCTCAACTTTGAGAAACTCTGAGTAGATATTTGAAAAAAAAGATCAACAATGACCTATCTGCACAATTACTTATGAAAAAAACAAGCTTGATAATTAAAATTCGCTTGAGAAAGGCGGATGGAAACTTTCAAAATTTTAAAGAAAGAAATTTGATTGATAAAAATTTCTTCTTTTCTGTTGATTATTTTTCCTTAAATAAATGATTTCTTTTACTCAACTATTTTCTTTGATACACTTTATTCAGATCTTCCACAAGATTTTTCATTGAAAACTTCTTTGAAGAAACTTTCTGTTTTCTTTTAGGACTATATAAATTAACAACTTCATTTTGTTTACAATTGTTCTTTAATATTCTTTCTATTTTTTTTGTTTTTAGCTCTTTCAGTAAATCAACCAAAGTTTTGTCCAGCAGCTATGTGGAATTTCAATGGAATCACTGTTGCTAATGAATCAACTGCTGGCCGACATCCTCACGCCTTTTTTGTGGACATAAACAATACAGCTTATGTCGCTAATCAAGACAAGAACATAATTGTAATATGGCAAGAAGGGAGTGTCAATCCAACAAAGATCATTACCGGTAATTTTGCAATGCCTTATTCTCTCTTTGTGACATCAAATGGTGATATTTATATTGATGATGGTAATCACAATGGTCGAGTACAAAGATGGAATGCCGCTACAAGTACGTTTGTCACAGTGATGAATGTCAACTCACTATGTGCCGGTTTGTTTGTCGATATCCATGATACTCTTTACTGTTCAATATATTTTGACCATCAGGTAGTGAAAAGATCATTACATGATTCTGCGATGACTTCAAATCGTGTTGCTGCTGGAATAGGTATTGCAGGATCCGATTCAAATCAACTAGCTGGTCCTCGTGGAATCTTTGTTGATGTGAACTTGGATTTATATGTGGCAGATTGTGAGAATAACCGTGTTCAGTTATTTCAGTCGGGAGAATTACATGGCATCACAGTAGCTGGAAGTGGATCACTAAATCCAACAATTACACTTCATTATCCAGCTGGAGTTATATTAGATGCTGATAAATATTTATTTATTGTGGATTCTGGCAATGATCGCATTGTTGGTTCAAGCTTGAATGGTTTTCGATGTTTAGCTGGATGTTATGGACAAGGATCACAATCCAATCAATTGTCTGCTCCATCCACTTTTAGTTTCGATCATTTTGGAAACATGTTTGTTACTGATCAATATAATCATCGCATTCAAAAATTTCAATACTTGGAAGAATCATGTGGTAAGTTTAGAATAATTGAATAAAGTCTCTAATATGATTTCAATCAATATTTATTCGGAGAATGAAACTCCTGATAGATTTCGAACTGAATTATTGAATATTAAAATCTAGATTTCAAGTTTCATCCTAATATACTATTTGTATAAAATACAAACCTTGCTTATTCATAATTTTCTAGAAAAGTCAATCGATAACATTATCGTCATGTTAGTTGCATGATGCAGATGAATATTAAAATATCTATGTATTTAGTAGGAAAATCAGAGATGATTTCAGTCCTTTTTGTTGAAGTTTCTTTATAAATTTTCTTTGATTCATCATCATCTGAACTCACTTACTGCTACTGACTGTAAAAAATAATGAACACAATGATTTTATGAAACGTAAGACATTCATGACAAGTAGCAGTTCTCGCGTCCAATTTGATATTTCAGAACAAAATAAGTTTCTCAAATTGCTTTCAAATCAACAAAAACTCATTTTACATAGTTGTTCAATGTGCTTCCAAATTCGTAGATATAAAATGTCTGTCAGAGAGAAATGATCCTATGCTCGAGTGTTAACCACAAATCGTAGTGCAATTATAGAGATTCAGCATATCACCTTTAGTCTCGAGATGAGAAAACGATTATGTTATATTTGCAGTCATGCTTTTGATCGACGAACGAGAATAGAATCAGGATTATCACAAAGGAGTGAGATTCGAATTTAGGTCAATGTCTAATAAGAAGTAATTAAGGAATCGCTCTTGTAATGTTTCAACAGTGGATCGAGTATGAGAATATTTTGATTTTCTAAGATTAGTCCAGAAGAGTACTCGTTATAGTATACGAAGTCTTATAATATTTCCTTATTGTAATTATTACAACTTCTCTCGGAAGGAACATGCGGCTTTTAAGGGCTAACATTGATACTTATTGTAAGGACGTTAGATAGATATTTTATTTCATGTTTCTCTGCATTTCTCTATTAAAAGCATTGCTCTGAAACAAACTAAAAATATGTGCAATTACTTCTTTTCTTTATTGTAAATACAAATACTCATTGATTTTTTTCATTTAATAGGTGACTCATCACTAATAGAAACAATGTATTCATTATCACTGACCTCGAATAGTGCAACTTATTTTCAAGATTGTTCAGAGCTAGATTCATATTATGAAGCGATACAAATGAACATCAGTATGACTGGACATTATACTTTTCTAATCAAAAGCGAGATGAAATCCACACATGCTTATATCTACGTAAATAACTTCAATCCATTCGATATGTCCAAAAATTTGCTGAGTCTTAGTGGAGACTCTGGTAATCAAGGTCAATTTCAACTCTCAGTTGTTCTTGAAGCTAACATGATATATGTTGTCGTTATAACAACATCTTCTCCGAATTTAATGGGGAACGTTTTAATTCAAGGATCTGGCTCAAGCTATATTGGTTTCAATCGTATTTGTAAGTATATATAGTATTTTAATGGATAATCAGCTGCATTTATTCATCATCGATAAAAAAATATAGATAAACTCAATCTCATAGAGACTAAGATTCATATCACTTCCAGTCGCTTTCGTTAACTGTATCTGAGAGAGAAAGTAAATTTTCATATTATTTACATTTATTTACATATTATACAAAACTGAATCGACTTTCTTTTTGTTAGTGAACACTCCATCAGTTGTTCAAACACCTTATACACCAGACTTGACAACGAACAATCCAACGTATTTACTTAGTTGTTCAAGTTCAAGTTCTAGCTATGAAGCGATACAAGTCCACGTTCGTAGAAGTGGTTTTTACACTTTCTTCAGCAAAAGCAATATGGACACATATGGCTCTATTTACAAAGATTATTTCAATCCATCCAATCCAAATGAAAATCGACTCAATTACGATGATGACAGCTGCAGTACAGATCAGTTTAAATTTACAACTGCTCTTGAAACCAGTATCACATATATATTGATTGTGACAACGTCCAGCCCTAATCCAACAGGCGCATTCTCGATCTTTGTATCCGGTCCAGACAGAGTTGATCTCAAGAATATTAGTAAGTGTTTGCATTAGAACTATTAAATGGATATCTGTTGACATCAGCTTGAGCATTTAGTTGAGTTTACCATATCCGCAAATAAAAACTTGTTTTGCAAGGTAATATTTGTACTATACAACGATAGTTTTACACAAAGAGTTACATTAACCTCATCAAATAACAGAATATGATGGATAGCATCAGAACAATACCTATGAATTCGAATTTGTTAGGGTAGGCGTGGGTGTGGGTGTATCTGAAATGCAATATTCAAATCCACACTCACCCTTAAGATAGTATTAACTTATATATTAAGTTGAATGATTGATTTTTTTATTTAGATATTTCATGTACATCTACTTTTACAACTCCATTCAGTAAGTAAAAGATTATAACTTTCTATAATATTAAATTAGTTGCAAATGTTTTAAAATATATATATATTCGTTTTTCTGATCATTGTAGTATTTCAAAGAGATAAAAATGATTTAGTTTTCTAAATAATTAATTCTAATAGAAAAATTGATCTTGTCTTTTAGCAACAACAACGAAACCATCATATGCTTGCATGAATTATCATCCTACATGGATATTAATTATGATTTGTTCAATTATTAATTTACTGAAAAAACTAATCTAATCTAATATTTATTCTCATATTCGTTTCATAATTCAGCTTATATCATTTAATATTGGTTTGCTTTTTATCTTATCAATAAATTCATATAATCAACTATTCTGTAAGTTCGAAAAACTAATTTGAATATTTTTACAGAGCAGGATGACAATGTTGAGGGAGTGGGCGTGGGTATGGATGGATGTTTTTTAAAATAAAATGAGCTGTAAACTCATCTCGATAATGATAAAAGATATAATTTTCATACTTTTATATAGTCAAATACCTTTTTTTACATGGAAATTTCCAAATGAAATCAGTTCACCAATTACAGCGCGATAGCTTAAACACAATAATGTAAACCATTACACAGTTGTTATTCATTATATTTATCTTTAGTATCTATATATTCAATATATTCACATTAATAGAAAATGACCAAATATATATGAGTAAATCATCTTGAGGGTGTGAGTGGATGGCGATATTATATTCTTCTCCTTACCCATGTTCACACTCACCCCCACCCTTTCTATTCTTAAATAATCGTTTAATTGAGAGATTTTTTTATAATTTTCTTTTATTTATCAATGAAATAGAAAAATTATTTAATTATTCTAATTGAATAAAATTGGGTGAATCATTTTGTTATCGAATAAAATTTTATAAAATATACTTTATTTATTTTTTATTTAGATTTTAGAAATAAATTCAAATATTTTATTTTTGATTTTTTAATATTTAAATGTAAAAATAATTTTTTCTTTGAAAAATGAGATTTTCTTGATTTAATTTTTCCATTTTGACAGATTTCATTCTTTTTCTTCTCCCTTCCCTTTTTCTCAATAAATCATAAAATCACAATAATAAACCTAATAAAATTTCTATTTTGAAGTTTTCTTTATTAATTTAAATGTTTTTCGCAATTTGAAAAATAGTTTATTTGATTCATTCAACAAAAATTCTGTTCGAATTACTTTGTTCATCTTAGTTTTTTAGTTTGAAATTAAAATTAACAAATATTTATTTATTTTCGAAAATAAAAGTCGAAATTTTATTAAATTAAACTGGAAATATTTTTAATTTCAAGTTTTTTTATATTTTTGGATTCGATAATTATAATAATCAGCAACATAAAGATTTCCTTCATTATCAAATGATAAACCTGTGGGAAAATTTAATTGATTTAATTGCTTTCCTAAACCATTTCCGCCAACAACAAGTTCACCTTCTTTATCTCCTTCACACCAACGCATTATTCGATGATTCCAACAGTCTGCCACATAGATTTGACCCAAATGATCAACAATCACTCCTTGAGGTTGATGTAATTGTTTGAGACTATTTCCAAGACCATTTCCTCCAGCAGCAACTTCACCTTCTTTTGCACCTTTTTTCCATTTCATTACACGATGATTGTTCTGATCTGATATATAAAGTGAATCGTTTTCATCAATAAATATATTATGAGGACCATTTAGTTGATTAACATGATTTCCTTGACCATTTCCACCTGCTACTAATTCACCTTTTTTATCTCCTTGTTTCCATCGTCTTACTTCATTATTCACATAATCAGAAACATAAATAAGTCCATTTTTATCGATTGTCAGACCATAACAATCAATATTTGAAATAAGAATTTGTTGATTTGTTTGATTTTGATCAAAATAACGAATTACTCGTCTGTTCATATAATCAGAAATAATAAAAGAATTATTTTTTTATCAAAAATTATATTTGTTGGATAATTCAATTGGTTATTTTGATTCCCTCTTCCATTTCCACCTGCAATGATCTCACCCTCATTTGAATTCAATTTCCATTTAACAATACGATGATTATAAGAATCAGCAACATAAATTGATTTATCATTATCAATAAAAATCCCTTCGGGCCAATAGAGTTGATTTAATTCTTGTCCTTTCCTATGTCCTCCAGCAACAGTAGTTGCAAACTTTTGAAATTTACTCTTTTGTTCTAAAAAAAAAGATCTTCATTCAATTCAAATTTTTTAATTAAAAATTCTTTTTTTGATTTTTATAAAATTTTAATTTAGTAAAATATTGTTAAATGAGAATCGTTTTTATTTCGATGTTTTAAATAATATCGATTAAAAATTTCATTTATTCTCAGAAAATTTGTTACTTTGAGAAGAATTTTTATTTAATGAAACATACTTTGTTTTATTTGAGATTGAGCTGATATTTCGTTTGTTGTTGTTGTTGGATTCTGCGATGTAGTTGCTGTACTATTTAAAGACTGATTTAATTGATACCAATCTGTAGGCATGTTTATATGAAAGAATGTTTTCGAGTAACAAGCACAGTAAATAATCTACAAATAAAATTAGCATCATAACTGAATTTAAATAAAAATTATTCAAGTATCAGACTCTCTGGTTATAATTGTGCGTATTTATTATTCGAGTACGTTTCTTTTGAGTATTCTTATTAATTATCAATCCCAATAACGTGACTCGTAGTGAATGCATTCTTACGCTATCGTATGTTGCAAATAAAATTAGGGTGTGGGTAGCTAGAGTGTGACGTGTAGATGTCGGTGTTGAATTACTCCACACACACATACATACCCTCGAATAAATAAGAGAAATAATTTTAAACAGTTATATCATATAGAAAAATGTGTTAAGAGGAGAAAAAAGCTATTATATGAAGATTTAATTATAATATAAAATAATTTATCAAACATTATTTGATTATTTTTGACAAAATGATAGTTCTACTAAATAAATATTAGAATAATCGATTCTTTTTTCCTTGATTTGTTTATATTGACTTGCTTCTTCAGGATTATTTCGTGCAATATGAAAACAGCCAAAAACTTACCACGTCAACAATAATTTAGAATGAATGAATTATGTGCTAGAATTCTTGATAATATTTTTTACTTTTTTAATATATGTTGGAAGCTAGTGATGAAGGTAGTGTCTTAAAATGATGAAGTTATTTTTTTGCAAGTGACAAACAAAAACTAAAGTTGGTGAATCCAAAAAAAATTATCAGAATTTAAAAGCAATAACAATATAAAAATATACTAAGTAATCAATCAGTTGTGTTTTTTTTTCTTTTTATTAAAAGAGAAAGAACACTGTATAATTCCATTTAAAACCATGTGAACAAGGAAAAGAAAAAAAATTGACTTCCTACATGGCTGCTGGTATAAAAAGACATTCCGCGAAAGAATAGACGCTATTAAACATGCTCAATGTCAGTAACAATGACGATGATATCAGATTCAAATAACAAAACATATAACTTCTTATGGGTTCTAAATCAAGAATATATGGGTGTTGTTGATTCGAAGTGAGAATTTGATCAAAATTTATTATTCTTTTCCATTCAAAGAATATTATCATTGATAGTTTTAGTGTGAAAATATCGATACTATCATTCTGAGAGATGAGTAGTATTCGTTTTTCCAAATTAACAATTCATCAAAATTCGAAGCTTCGTGTCGCATTTTACGTAAAAAGCTCTGAATGAAATTGTTTTTCAATTAATTTAAAAAAAACTATATTTTTAACTGAACTTTCTCCAATAATAAAAAATAAAATAAGTTTACAAAAATCTACAAATTCAACTGCATAATGATTGATTTGATCTATCTAAGAACGTAAGATTGATTATCATTTTAATTTATTTGTGATATACGTTGTTTTTGTTGTTCAATTTGAATACGAATATCATGTGGTAAATCATCACCTAATTGTCCATCAAGCCATGATAATGTTTCTTCGATATCATCTTTCCAATAGTCTTTTGGTACACTCATTAATTTATCCCAATCAACGATAAGACCTTGAAGATTAATCGAATCTTTTTTTGGTATAAGACCAACCGATGATATCTCAGCAATATCTTCACCATTTGTACGTCGAACAATCCAATCAAGTACACGAATATTATCACCTAAAAATGAATTGATTTTCTTTTATATTTCTATTTAAATATTTTTACCAAATCCTGGCCAAAGAAATTTCTTATTTTCATCCAAACGAAACCAATTTACATGAAAGATTTTTGGTAACTAAATAGAATCGTTATAGATAAATAATTTCATTTTTTCGTAAATTTACTTTATTTTTAGGATCTTTTTCAAAATCAAGCCAATGTTGAATATAATGTCCAAAATTATAACCAACAAAAGGTCTAAAGATAATATATAGAAAACAAAAAACAAACTGTAAGTTTATACTACCGCATAGCAAATGGATCATGCATAATTTGTTTTCCTGTATGTTCAGCAGCTGCCGTTGTTTCTGATTTAAGTTGTGAAGCAAGAAATATTCCATGTTTCCAATCAAATGATTCAATAACAAGTGGAACACCTTCTGGTCTTCGTCCACCAAAAATAATAGCTGATATAGGTACACCAGCTGGATCTTCCCATCTATCATGTATAATAGGACATTGTCGTGCTGGACAACAAAATCTTGCATTTGGATGACTTGATTTTTTTGTTTTATCTTCTCCTAGTTTATATCGTTCACCAGTCCAAGAAATAATTTCCGTACCAGGTGGTGTTTCATTTTCAAGACCTTCCCAATAAAATCCACCATCAGCTGTTTCACCAACATTAGTAAATATAGAATTTTTTAAACAGGTTAAAATAGCATTCGGATTTGTTTTCATATTTGTACCACTTAAAAGAAAGAAGAAGAAAAAATCGAAAGATTTATTTTAATAATAATTATAAACGAAAACAATTTTACGGTGCAACACCAAAGAAACCAGTTTCGGGATTAATAGCTCTTAATTCACCTGTTTGTTTATCAAATCTCATCCAAGCTATATCATCACCAATACATCGAACAGTATAACCAGGCATTGTTGGTGTTAACATAGCTAGATTTGTTTTACCACATGCTGATGGAAAAGCAGCAGCAATAAATTTTTCTTCACCTTTGGGATTTGTTATTGACATGATTAGCATATGTTCAGCTAACCCTATTTATTGAAAAAAACACATTCATTTTTTTTTGTTTTCGTAATAAAGTGTACATACATCCTTCATCGTAAGCAATACGACCGGCAATACGTAAAGCAAAACATTTTTTACCAAGTAAACTATTACCACCATAACCGGATCCATAACTAATTACTTTTCGAATATCCGGAAAATGACAAATCTGAAATTAAAATGTATACAATAGATGAAATATACTTTGTAGTAACTTACAAGTATTTTTTCTGGATTACATGGCCAATTATTAATAATCTTTTGTGTATGTGGACGAGGAACGCCTAAATGAATAAGATTTTTTTTATGAGAGAAACGAAAGATGTATTTACCGGTTGAATGAAGACATTTAACAAATTCTTCATTATGTCGAAGATGTTTCCAAATTTCTGATGAAACACGTGTCATTATTCTCATTGAAAGTAATACATAATTCGAATCTGTTATTTGTACACCAATTTTACTTAATGGAGAACCAATTGGTCCCATACTAAATGGAATAACATAAAGCATTCGTCCAGCCATACATCCAGGAAGTCTATCATCAAGTTCTTGTTTCATATCACTAGGTGACATCCATTGACCAAGTACACATTTGACGCCTTCTCGTGAATGTGGTATTGATGCATATTTATTATTTGTAACAATAAATGTTTTTGATTCAACACGAGCAACATCCCGAGGATCTGTCCAACAGATATAAGAATTTTCATATTTTGTTAATTTTGTTAAGGTACCACGTTCAACAAGTTTATTTGTAACCATTTCAGCTTCTTCTTCTGATCCATCACAAATATATACAGCACGGGGTGCACACAATTGTATCTAGATTATAAGAAAAAAAATTTAAATTAAATCAAAGAATAATTTTTGTTTACCATTTGAGCAAGCCATGTTTGTACTTGATGTGGAAGAGATTGAAAATCACCTTTAGTTATAGGTACATTACCAACTTGTTGAATTGTAATATAATGTACTTCAACAAATGGAACGTTAACATCTTCCATTTCGATTGAATCTAAAAAAATAGATTGACCTAAAAAACTTATTTGTATATAATAAAAAGTAGTGCAACGGGTTACTGATGATATAAGAATAAAAGATGAGATCGATTATATATTAATACTGATGGGTTATTTTGGGTATTCGTAAATAAACATTCTCTATTATCGCTGGTGTTGTCAGATGGAGAAAAATACCAAGATAATACACAGAAAGAAACGAGAAAAAAAATAATCTAGATTACGGCAAAAAAAAAGAGAACGATTAAATCTAAGTACATTTGGGATGATACAGCACTCTCGCGTTCCATCGCTCGTTTCTCTAAAAGAATTTCACACTTGTAACGAACAGGAAGAGAAAAAAAACGTATTGGATAATAACATGGATCAATATAGAGAAAGCTGGAAAAGATGACACTCTCGTTATTTTTTTTTTAATGATTTGATTGTAGCAGATATTTTTTCCTTTAGAATGATGTCACTTTGTTTTCTTAAAATAATAATAAACAATATTCTTTATTTATCATAACGTGAAATGGTCACGATGCCCTATATTCTTCTTCTATATTTTTATGTACTGCTTTATCCTTTTCTCTTTCGATTCCTATCTTCTTGTATGTATATTTTTGGAATGACAGTATCAATTTGCCGTTCTGTCATACATATGTTTTTCTCTCATACATGCCCTCGAGGCGCGCATCTATCTCTTCCACATGGTATAACCTAACCTTTATTCTCTTACAAAATAAGATCAAATTTATAAAATTCAATCAATATAGTGCATTTGCACAATTCTTTTTATTGTTATTTATTCGTTTAATTCAGTCCATTTTTCAGTATTATTTTTGCTATTAGCTAAACAAGTTTCAATAAATGCCATTCCACGAACACCTTCTTTAATACTCGGAAAATCTTCCCATTGTTCTGATGGATTTTTTTCGTTGTTAGTCTTTGCACAAATTGTTCGTTTAAAATTACGATAGATATTTGCAAATGCTTCAATATAACCTTCGGGATGTCCAGCTGGTACTCGTGTATTATGTATTGCACTTTGTGAAAGATATTGTGTTCCTGTACGATAAATTTCTGTGGGACTATCAAACCATCGTACTGCAAGTGTATTACAATCACCATGTTGCCATTCGATAGAACCATTTTCACCATAAACACGAATTTTTAAATTATTTTCTTCACCCGTACATATCTTCAAAAATATAGAATGATTATTTTTTGATTAAAGATTTCATGTGATAACATACCTGTGAAGCCATTAAAACACCACTTGCTCCATTATTAAATCGTAAAAGTACACTAGCATCATCATCAAGTTGACGACTTTCAACAACTGATCGTAAATCAGCACATACATGAGTAACTTGAAGACCAGTAATATATTCAGCTAAATTAAATGCATGTACACCAATATCACCTAAACATCCAGATGGACCACTTTGTTTAGGATCAAGACGCCATTTAGCTTGTTTTGAATTAACATCTTCATGACTTAACCAACCTTGTGGATATTCAACATAAACTTTACGAATTAAACCAAGATCATTACGTGCAATCATTTGACGTGCTTGTTTAACCATTGGATAACCTGTGTATGTATGTGTTAAACAAAGAGTACGACCAGTTTCATTGATAATTTGTGAAAGTTCATGTGCTTCGTTAAGTGAAAAACATAGAGGTTTATCAAGAACAACATCAAAACCAGCACGAAGAGCAAGAACAGCAGGTTCATAATGAACATGATTGGGCGTGACAATTGCGACAAAATCCATACCTGAAATAATAAAAAAAATAATTAAATTTATTAACGATACTCTTTAATACCTTTCGATTTTTGTTCTTGTTCAATCATTTCTTTATATGAACCATAAACTCGATCTTCTGAAAGTCCTAATTGTTTACCCATTTCACGAGACTTTTCAGGATCAGAACTAAAAGCACCACATACTAATTGAATTTCACCATCAAGACAAGCTGCTGTACGATGTACAGCACCAATAAATGCACCTGGACCACCACCGATCATACCCATTCGTAATTTACTTGTAGAAATTGTTGATGATGTCATCTGAAATATTTAATAAATTGGTATAATGATCTTTACTTCACAAAACTGATAAACAACAGTGATAACAGACTTTCGATTTTATCTTGTAAAACACATGTGTGCGCGTATATTTACTTTTCTCTTATTTCTTTTGTAATAGTCATATATGATAAGAACGACAAAACTACTTCATAGAATAAGAAAACGATGTAATCGATATATTTTGTTTTTATAAACACATGACTAAAGAAAACAAGCAATATTGTTTTTGACATGTCATATGAGCAATAATTGAATATTCAATTGATGTTTGATCAAAATATATAATATTAATTTTTTTTCTCCGAAGAAATTGAATTATATTATTAATTGAATGTCCATACCTAGAACATGAACTCAAAAATCTGTTCTAGACGTTCAAAAATACTTAAAATAAAAATCAGCTGATCAAATATAAATATTTTTTCCGAAGAAATTTGATTGATTATATGCCCGAGAATTGAAGTCAATATTTATTATTGAATGAAAAATAAAGATGACAAAAAAATTTCTTTTCATTTCATTCTTTCTTCTGATCAAAGTTGGTAACAAATCACAAGTGAAATTTGTCAAGAAGATGTCATTAGTCAATAGTTTCAAACTATTGCTAATTACAGTATTTTTGTCTCATCAAATAACGGGTCTATCATTTAATCGACCAAAGTTTTGTCCATCAGCAACGTGGAATCCAAATGGCGTAACTTTTGCAAGTTTGCTTGTAGTTGGCCTTAATCCTAGTAGTGTTTTTGTTGACACCAACAACACTGTTTATGTTGGAGAACCAGGGCTCAGTCGTGTTCAAGTATGGCCTGAAGGACATAGCAATCCATCAAGAACCATTTCAAATGGTTTAAAAAATCCACAAGCTATTTTTGTTACTAGCAATGGTGATATTTATATTGACAATGGCGACAAGAACCATCGAGTAGATCAATGGACATTGAATGCAAGTACAAGTACAACCGCATTGACTGTTACAGACACATGTTATGGTCTTTTTGTTGATAACAACAATTCTCTGTATTGTTCCAATGGGCCTGGTAATCATCAAGTTATAAAAAAATTATGGAATAATAATGCCACGACATCAACACGTATTGCTGGAACTGGTAAAGCTGGATCAACGGCGTCTACGCTTAATCAACCTCGTGGAATATTTGTTGATAATAATATTAATTTGTATGTAGCAGACAGTCAAAATAATAGAATTCAATTCTTTAAGCATGGTCAACAAAATGCTACCACAGTAGCTGGAACTGGAGCTTCAGCACCTGGAAATATCCCTCTCAAATATCCAACAGGAGTTTTGCTCGATAGTGATGGATATCTATTTATTGTAGATTACAATAATAATCGTATTATTGCTTCTGGACCACTAGGTTTTCGATGTATAATTGCATGTAGTAATTCAGGTGGCCCATTTCCAACACAACTGCATAGTCCGTATAGCATGAGTTTTGATCGGTATGGAAACATATTTGTTGCTGACCAAATGAATGCACGAATTCAAAAATTTCTTTTGTCGAATAATTCATGTTGTAAGTGTTTTTTTGAAGAAAAATTTAACAAACTTGAATTGAACTAAAATTAATATTTATTGCTTTAGACGGAGCAACTACACATCAGGCCCAATTAACTACAAGTTCAACCAAAATAACAACGAATAAAGTAACAGCAACTTCTTTAAAAACTACAACTCAAACTGTTACACACCAGGCCCAATTAACTACAGATTCAATCAATGTAACAACAACTTCTTTAAAACCTACAACTCAAAGTACGAATCAAATATTGGCTTCAACGTCAAACATGGTCATTTCAAATCAAAGTAATAATTTTATGATACTAAAAATCATATACATGTCTCCTTTTTTCTCCATAAAGGTTGTTTTCCACCTGGAATTATATTAATTCCTAGTACATCATCGGTGAACTCTCCAATGCAATATCAACGACAACAAGATTTTTATATTAATTCAAATATTTATCTTAATTGTAATACTTCACTTGCAATGATAACAAAATGGACCATTAGTAATTGTACTTCAATTTGTTCACAACAAATTGTAGTTGATCAAACAATCAGTACAACAAACAGTGAGATTTTTATTCCAGCTCGAACTCTTCCTTATGGTCTTTATGAATTGAAATTAACTGTAACAATGGTAGCAGCACCTCGTATGATATCATCAGCGTCAGCTTATATAGAAATTATACAAACAGGTATTACACCAAATCTTGTTCAATTAGGAACATTATATGTAACACACGGATATCAAGAAGATTTAATACTTGATCCAGGACAATATTCGATTGA